CATTGCTGGTGGACTTTCCAATAATCTTTCCAACACTTCCTCTGTGACCTCTGATGAAGTTATAGGCGAAGAATTAGATGACATTTCAGCTACCTCTCCATTTCCATCTTTTTCTGTTCCACCTGTAAGTATCTATACGCACGTAATATTTAATTAAATCCCTTTAAGATATATGATACAAACGTAAATGGATGATATTTACTGATTCGTCTAAAGGTGGCCTACTGTCAACACATTGTTTGATAAATTGCGATCCTCGTATGAGATTTACAAATCCACATTTGGGAAACCATCTAGCATGTTCTGTCCATGGATCATCTGTTGCCTCCCACTTTCTCAACCCACCGTCACAATGAAAGCACCTAACTCTATCCTCTGATCCTGATATAATATTTCGTTACCATTAGTTACATAACACTTACCAGTATCACTGTATCTTATCAAATACAAGCGTTACCATAATAATAGAATCCTGCGCTAGCTAAGACTTCAGGAGTTTGATTAAGATTTTCTGGCCAACCATTAAAACTACGTAGTCTTCCCTCATATGTTGAATAATATGGTTTCTTAGGAATTGTGTGCATCTGTATTCCTAATTCTGACAAGCTCGATGTCGTACCAGGCATCACTTTTACATTAGTCAGATATACATTGTCTATTAAAAAGAAGTTGAAAAGAAATTATGATAAGAAGTCTTAAAAGAAAATAAGTACTTTGTATATTTTTTGAATACCATCTTCGGTTTGGTGAAGGTAAAAATCACAGTTAGGAAAATGTTTTCTATGCTCTGCTTCTGGTGTATCACCGGGAGCCCATTTTTGCAAAATACCACTACAATATACACATTGCACCTGAAAATTACATAGATTTAATAATGCTTATAGCTTATATGAACAATATATAAGATTCTGACTTCTATAATTTACTTTGTCCTCTTGTTGAAGATAATAAAATCCAGCTTTGGCGAGTTTTTCAGGTGATACAATGGAAGAAATTGGCCAATTGGTGAAGGTTTGTAATCTGTGAGATATAACTCTATAATCTTGTTCTGTATCTAGGCAAGATCTCGAGGACTGACATTCAAGTATATTATTGTCCTGTGAAATTTCCGTTGACGACGATCCCGTTTCAGGAGTATTAATAGATACTGGTATCAGGGGGACATTACAAGTGCTAGAAGGATTTTGAACGAAAGGACAATTAGGCTCTGCTACTGAGTGACGAACTATGGCTTGATCACCGTAATTCCATTCAGAAATTTTTACTCCGCATAAAAAGCATTGTACTTCGAGGGCATGTCCGGTATAATAAAATCCGGCTTTTGCTATTCGTGCTGAATCGATCGGAGCATTCGCTGGCCAGTCCACAAAAGTTCTTAATCTATTTTCTTCAATATTCATTTTGTCTAGCACGCCAATTTTGTAGGTAGAACGAATCGATCAGTGTGATAACGATGTACATTTGATTTAAGACGTGAAATAAATAATTATTGTAGTTTATGTCAGAAACCTTTCTGATACATATTGTTTTGAAATAAGAATCATTTAAAAAGCACATCACAACGTTTAAGACTGATAATGAAGTGCGAAGTTGTCAAAAAATAATATTACAACTTACAACTTTCGTACGCATGCGCGATTATTCAGGAACGTTTTTATTGGGGTGTACATACCTTGGTCAAATCATCTCAGATACATCTAAATCTAAATATATATGTTCAAAAAGTTGTCTAATTCGAAAAGAATATTGATAATAAAAAAGTTACGTAAAATTTATGTGATATATACGGACGTCAAATATGATAAAAAAGATACAACAAAGAAGTATCAGTTTTAGTTGTTACAATCTTATTATTGTGTGATGAGCTGGAATTAATGATAAAATAATAATAATTTCGAACGTTAGACTAATTGAGTTTTATCCTTCAATTACTCGGGAACGCAACAGGTCGCTATTGATCTCCTTTGAAATGACAGTGCTAAAGAATATAAGCAATAAAGTAAGTTTTTTCTGTGATTTCACTTATTTATATAAACAAGTGAATAATTTGGAAAAGAATAATCTCTAACTAAAAATTGTTATGTGTGACAAAACACTTGTTTGTTTTATTATATAGCACTTTATTTTTCTTTCTTTTGTTTAGGTTGCTCTACTTAACATAAGGTCGTACAGTTCTAAGGCAAAATTAAATGATGTTGTTATCATTAGTGCAACAAGAACTCCCATGGGATCGTTTCTTGGAGGGTTATCAAGTTTGCCTGCACCAAGGCTTGGAGCGATAGCTATACAAGTAAATATTAACATCATATAATTATTTTATAACTTTTTATTATTATTTTATATATTGTATATTGTTATAATAATAATAGGCAGCAATTGAACGTGCAGGAATTTCCAAAGAACAAGTTACAGAAGTATACATGGGAAATGTTTGTCAAGGTTACGTAGGTCAAGCACCAGCCAGACAAGCTACGTTATTTGCAGGTATTGTTTCTGTAGTCTTATATTATTGTTATTGATATAATATTAATATATAAGCATTTTGAATAGTAAATTCATAATTTAGGTCTTCCCAAGTCTACAATATGCACAACAGTTAACAAAGTTTGTGCCAGTGGCATGAAGAGCATTATGCTTGCCTCTCAATCGTTGCAATGTGGACATCAAGAGATTACTCTTGGTGGTGGTATGGAGTCAATGTCCAATGTACCATTTTATTTGGCAAGAGGAGAAACCAAGTATGGTGGAATGAAGCTTGAGGTATAATGACTGTTTCTTGTACTCTTTTATTCACTGTATTTCATTAATTCTCGTATTACTTGATTGTAATTTTACAGGATGGTATTGTCTTTGATGGCTTAACTGATGTCTATAATAAATTTCACATGGGTAATTGTGCAGAAAATACTGCCAAAAAGTTAAATATCACTCGCGACATGCAAGATGCGTTTGCCATTAATAGTTACAAACGCAGTGCTGCAGCGTATGCAAACAAAGCATTTCAAAATGAACTTGTTCCTGTTACTGTGTCCGGAAAGAGAGGAAAACCTGATATAGTTATTAATGAAGATGAGGAATATAAAAAAGTCAATTTTGATAAATTCACAAAATTGAACACAGTCTTCCAGGTACAATTTTAAGATAAAAACGAAAGATTTTTAATGAAAATTTTAAATAATGTACTTCGTGTTTATTTACTACAGAAGGAAAACGGGACAGTAACTGCTGGAAATGCATCGACCCTAAACGATGGGGCTGCTGCATTAGTCTTAACAACCACAACTGTTGCTGAGAAAATGAATCTTAAACCTTTAGCGCGTATTATCGCATTCCAAGATGCTGCAACTGATCCGATCGATTTCCCTATTGCTCCATCTTTTGGTATTTTAAAAGTAAATTTCTTGCAATGCATTTAACATCATATAAGATTTATATAAACCTTATTATGTTATATATTAATTTTTAGTTATTGGAAACTACTGGAATTAGTAAAAATGACATAGCACTCTGGGAAATTAACGAAGCTTTTAGCGTAGTTGTAGTCGCGAATCAAAAATTGCTGGATCTCGATCCTAATAAAGTAAACATCCACGGCGGTGCTGTGTCACTTGGTCATCCTATTGGGTAGGTACTCAATTATTTTCATAAGTAAAATAAAATTCAACTTACGTATAATTTTAGCATGTCTGGTGCTCGCATTGTTGTACATTTAGTACATGCATTGAAAGCTGGAGAAAAAGGTGTTGCATCGATTTGTAACGGTGGTGGTGGAGCGTCGTCGATTATGGTCGAAAAATTGTAAGTTTATGATATAAAAGAATGTCATCATCTTACGATATTATATATATATATATACATAAATATTTTTGATACGATACTTTTTAACTGTTATGTATAAAATTTTATACTATGTTCATTGTAATCGTTTTTTATACTTATACGGATTTATTGCAATAAATAAATATTATAAAAAAATAGAATAATTATTTTATTAACAATTCTCTCTTATTCTGTAGGTCTCACACAATATCTTCTCCGCCAAAGTTAACATTATACACGAAACACCCTTGCCCGCTTTGCGATGTTTTGAAAAATGATTTACGATTATGTTTCTCTGGTCGTTATGAGCTAGAAGAAATCGATATTACTGCACCGGGAAATGAACGATATTTAGGATTATACAAATATGAAATTCCAGTTCTTTTTATAGAGGGTCAATATCTTTGTAAACATCGTTTAGATTCGCATTTATTGGAAATGAAATTACGAGAATTTGAAAGTTCTACGTAACTACATATATCGTATTTTGCTTTTACATGCAGCTACCATTATCATTAATCATCGATCATAATCATGCATTGATTGTATAAAATACTGAACTATGATTATCATACTTTAGTTTCAATATATCGTGTATATTATCGTTTTATTATAAATAAATGGAAATCAAAATTACTATATGTAATAAAATAATTACTGAAAACATTCCACCAATAATAATATATACACATGTATATTAAAGTGATAAAGCTTGAGATTCGTCTGATATCTCAACAGCAAGATCAAGGCAGCAAGTATGGTCGTTCGGCAAATCTTGTAGCTCGCGTGTCCGCTTTCGCCTGTACTTGTTTTCTTCGAGTCGCCTACTCTTTTCCACCCTCTCTCTGTTGCCTCTTTCCTCTTGCTTCCCTTTCTCTCCGATATTAGGTCTGCATACTCTCTTTCCGATGGGTAAGCAGGCAACGAACGCACACACTGACATTCCGAAAGATCGGCAGTGAATTGGTGAATGCACGCATCGGGCTCTCCTTGCCGACGTTCGTTCTTTCTCAGTGCCCAGTGCGTGCTTTACGCGGATACCGAGAATTGTCTGTCTGTTTCTCGTATTATATACTTGGCGTATCGTACTAAATAGTTTGTACTAATTTACGAACCTCCCTCGAAGTTAGGACAAAAATCGACAACGGACATTGGGACTAGTGTTAAACGTGCTATCGAAATCTCGCGAGTGGCCTGTGATTTTTCGAGTGAAGACGTAACCAGTACACCAGGGATATAACGGGTCGAGCGAAGTGCTAAGCGGATCATAAAAACAAAGAGATTCACCTGATTTGGTGTGAGAGTGTTCGTAGATCTTCCGGAGGCATAATAAAAAAGAAAGACGCGTAAATCTCAATAGAGAGTCTACTTATACGTGAATACGAAGATAAAAAATCGATTAACGGCATAAGTTTAAAAAAACAGGTATAGGTAGTGGGCGACGTAAATGATATCGTATTATTCTTAAAAAAATTGGAAAAGTTTAGTCGAGAGTACCGAGTGAAACGCTAGCGTGGTTTTCCAGTAACGGTTCTGTTTTCAATTTCGCAACCCTGAGCTTGTGCTTTTAAAAGCTTATAAACGTCAAAACAAGTTGTGAAACAGTGAAGAGTCGAATTCTTTTTTTGTATCGCAATAGGCGCGCTTTTAATTGAGCGAGCTCGTAATATTTTTAGATGGCGTTATGCTCAGTCCCAATCGGTTCACAAATAGAGAGTTGATGCATTTTAAGGAGCACAGATAAGCTACCCATTATTCGGAATGTGCACCTCAATTTTTACAGCATTACAAAATGATGTAAATAAAAAAGTTACTTGCATATGCAATTCTTGCGTTTTATGAACAACACACCGATCGCTAACGGAAGAATCGAAAAAAATGAAATCATTCATCATTATTTATCACATTAATAAGCCCTCTGTGATCAACTGTAGTGGGTATTTATCGTCAATCACATTTCTTGGATCCACTTTATGAATATTCACCAATTAAGGTACGTGAAGCATACATATGTATTATTATTAGTACTTCATTGCATAAGGCAATGAAATAATTTTAAATAAATCAAATTAACAATAAAAATTGGCACAAATGGAAATATCACGTGTTCACAATCGTAAGAGTAGTCATTACTGTAAAGATTCAACAGTTATTCTTCAAGGACATTATACTTTCTGTGTTGCACAGACTATGTTCGTTAATATAATGGATCAATTAACTTATATTGTAGATCAATATATGTAAGAACGAAAATGATCTTTGACAATTGGATACTCTGAATAATTTTTAATCAATTATCCCCACGGGATTATATACGGACATCGAAGTTTGTGCGTACGTGAGTTCGAACGTTTGAATTGAACTTTTCTTTATGGATGTCGATTAATTCGAAGCCCTATCGGAGATATTACTGAAGGCGTTGTCCTGGTTCGTGATTCACGAATGAGCTATGTAGAGCTGTAGCCAGCTGAGGGGGTCTGGTTACTGGTTACCTGTTACCTGGACAAGTGTGTTGGTCACGGGTTCGTTTCAAAGTATCGACCGTGACAGCCGTTCCGTGCAAATCGTAATTTTCGGAATGATGCTTTCTAACTAAAATTCTGATTCCTTAAACCTCTTACCGGAAAACTGCGAATTATGTGTACGTGGATAAGCTCCGCATGCGCACAATACAATATTCATATTCAATTGAAAGAATGACAATAATGATACGCTTTTATCTCCAAAGAAAAATAACAGACGATTAATTAATAAACATTACCCACTGTACAATTTTAATTCGATTTTATGAAATCAAAAATTGTCTTAATAAGTTAATTGAAACCTTTTCTGTGAAGCGGTAGAACTAGAGATAAGGGTTCAACGAACCATGGGTTTGAGAGTAAATTTAGTGATTACTACGACAGAGTAAAATGGAGACTTCCATAAGCAATCGTTTAGCTATGTTTTCTTCTTTCAGTTTGTTACTACTGTTATTATGTACGTAAAATGACATACACATATGAGTTTTTGTTGCGATCGCATTATCGTCAGTAAACTATGAGATAGATTCTTTATAAATAATCGAAGATCGCAAATTGCAGTTAGCGTTATCTTGTTAATAGTCACTAATAATATAACACTGTTGTCAAAGCTCTAACTTTATTCTCTGCGACAGTCCAGCATTCATACCGATTCATTTATAAAGCAAGTTTGAACATCTCTCGTTATCCGTGAGGTAATTGTTGTAACATGCAACCTACATGGACATTTCGTAATGTTCTTCAATATTTTCAAAGCGGTGAGTCACGTGTAACGGTTTCAATACTCTGTATAAAGGACTCTGTATAACAATTTCCTGCGCGATATAGCAGTTTTAGAATCGGTTCTTGCTGCATCGGAATATGATGAAGATATTCGGTTCCCAGGTCAGGCAAATGTAGGACAGGTTCACACAGTTGAGGAGGAAAAGCATCGGTCCACTTTGTTATGGGACTAGATAGATCGTACAGACATGAATCTTTCCTTTGTCGCGGTTATTTTTAAACCTGACTAGAAATACGTTTTATTTCTTCAATTTCCTCCGCTTTCTTATTAAAATCTCTCGCGAAATGTTCATTTTCTTGGAATTATGTAATAGGTAATAATACTGATGATTACAGTAATTGAACATCGCAAGATGACTTCGAACGAAGATGGTGATTTGATCGATCTTGGAAACGACGTATGCGTCCCACGAGTGTCTATAGAAGAATCGTCGAGCGATGAACAGGAGCATCTTCTTGACGTGTGTCCGCCAAAATTGGAACAAACACTGTCGTTGACCAAGAAACAAGAACAAGTACAATGCGTGAGCGATAACGGCGACGTGCTGGTCACACTGGGTCACGATCAAGTAGTACCGATTCGCAAGAGGATCGACGTCGTTTCGTCTGACACAATAAAAAGGGTTCGCGACATTACTAGGAACCTGGAACCAGTTATAACGAAGACTTGTTCCGACATTAATGAAGAGCATCAGGATGTTGTGGATTATGGTAGCGCATCGAATCATTGCAAAGGCACGCATTATTCGAGCGAAAAGCACGAGGAAGAGACGTACGAAGCGCGGGAAATCAGCAATGCGTTCAATTTCCTTACTGAACACGATGATACTGAAGATCAGGTCGAAGCAAATTGCATACGATACGATGATTCGCACAGGTTGATGCTATTAACCCGTTCTACTGAGGACGATGAAAATCTTTTGAATTACGATGGCTCCATCCAAGGCTTAAACTGCTGGAAAGCTGCCGCCGATTTAAAAGATCCAGCTTTCGAATTACGTTCAGGCAAACTTACCGACAATATCTCAAGAAGTAATGGCTGCGAATCCGTTGATCATGAACCCGAGAAAACTATTAGTGGAGTTGCTAAGAAACAAGAGGAGAAAAGAGGAACGGCAACGAGGACATCCATTCGGCAAATGAACCGTAAATCTTGGACGGAAGGGATTTTTAAAAATGCAACATTGGATCCATTAACTCGGTTCGACAGGTCGACCAGTTTAAGGGAACCATCAACTACCAACGGTATACGTCGGCAGTTCAGTATTATCTCAAGGTATATAAATTTTATCATTCATTGTAGAGATACTCGTTCATGTTAATATTACGGCTAATGTCAGCATTATATTTATGTCCTTAATAAGTAAAAGTTCAATAAATAAGAATCTAGATTTGATCCATGGTAGAATCACGTTTATTGCATATGATAGATGGTTTCTGTACATTTATAGAAAGGGTAGAAAGAAGAGTCTCGTGAGCTGCATATGTGTATCGCACTTCTACGTGTGGAAGGTGAAGGGTCAAAAGTTCTTTGTGTTTTGTACAATGAGACTTTCTTCCCGAGTTTTCGAAATACGTGCAAGATGTTACAACATTGCTAGTTTCTACTGATTTCATAAGAAAACGTTACACGCGTCAAATTCATCGTTCTCACGGGGATCGCGGGGACGTGATGAAAATATCCGTGTGCGCATGGTTTCGCTACGGTTCTCCAAAGAGGCACCCGCTGTACAACGACAGTGGCTGGCCGGAAGTAGTGCCACGAGCCGTGTGCGAGAACCGTGGATCCAAGTTTGCACTGAATAGATTTTTAAAGTGGCACGTGCAGCCACGCTTGAGAGAAACAAAGGTTCATTTAGAACTTTCGCCATTCGATGTAGACGTACCATTGGCTAAAATTTGAATTTGCATTTCTGATTATATCCTATGCATATTTATAAACTATTAGTGCGCTGCACTTTTCATAGGTATCTCATTACTTAGATTATACACATGTAACCCTTCTCGTCGCTAGGTGTACACCTTTTTTTTCATTTATATAACGCACAAGCGCAAGTAAGGTATGCATTATATAATTCATACTCCTCTTCAACCTAATACGTAAGCTAATATGTAACGTACAAGGAGAGAAACGCGTTTATTAAAGAATTACTATTGTTTAGGTCTTCGATAGAAAGCGGATTAGAGCCAAACGGAGAAGACCAAGAGGATGGATGTTCAGAGTGTTCGGAAGTGGATTGGTCCTGGTTAGAGGAAGTAGAGTCTTCGCGGGGTGCGGAATCATTAGCACCCAATGTTGTTGACGCGGTTCAGGAAAACACCGAACATCGAGGAGGGAGTGCATCATCCCCCACCAGCGAAAATTCAAGGCGCAGGCGCGGTCGCGAGCATCGTGCTACCGAAGCGGGCTGCAGTGCCGCGATGTCCGTCCCCGGGACGGTAAAGTCCTTACCGGACAGTGGTACGCGATGGTCAACCTGTGACCCGCTACCCGATCAAGACGGCAACGATGAGGATGCGGCCGTGCGATGTAACAACGCGAACAACGAGGCTATCGACCGAGAAACATGCGATAATCCTGGCACGCTCGTCAATTCTTGGGTGCGGGCCTCGATGAGACGTTTGCGCCACTTAAGACTGCCGGAAGGAACCGAGCGGCAACGGAACACGGATTCGAGTAATTGCCGCGCCGCGATTACATCCGCGCCGAACTCTTTACCGGACATAGCACTCATTGCTCCTGAGATTCTGGCTGCGCAAACGAACGGCACTTCTGGTACCCTTTTGAGGCCGTCTAGCGCTCCCGCTAGAAATACGAATGGTTCAAATCAAATAGTGCCACCGTCTCGCGGTGGCAGACAATTTAGAACGAGTCGAACACAAGCAACGAGGACTCGTGAAATTTCCTCGAGGCAGAGCAGCGTCTTATCGTCGACTACTGGTAGCGATACCTCGAGAACCACAACTTGCTCCAGTTCTTTCGGCGGTGCTTCCACCAGTCCACCTTCCAGCACGACCACGAGTCCGCAACGCATCACTTCCAGAAGGTGAGTTCGATCCAAGTGTTAATTTTATTATAAAATAAGCCGATTGCGTTCTTATTGAAGCAATGAACTGCATTTCGCATCCTTCTCAGTTAGACCCCGTTGCCACACATTAACCGGAAGTGAGAATGAGTTTAAACGAGTTGTCGGTTGTTACTCATCCATGCTTGCACTTTAGATTCTCCTTACACAAATAATAAAAGGAAGATAATTAATTCGGGACAGTGCTCTTTTAGAAACAGTAGTATAGTTTTTTTTTCTTAGAAATGACGAATAATTAGAGGCATGTGCGTCTCGAATAGCCAATGAGAAATGTTGTAGCAACTGTCTATCATTATATACTTTTCGGATTGTGCTCGCTTTACAGTTTCGTCACGAGTGCCTATGCTTGATGAAACGTGCGTTACAGTAAGCTCGTGATAAATGCATATTACTCTCTCATTTACATCAGTCAGTCAGTTTTCTTAATGTACACATATATACCTGATTTATTGGATTTTGACACAATATAAACGTAGCGAGATACGTGTTTCTATTAGTGGCATGCGACGAGCGAAGGTGGTTTATGTATACATTGGGCTAAATCCAGTGAATTAGGTGTACATACATATGTGTACGTAGTTACAAGAGAGATCGATAAATTCTATTTTTTAAACTTCACTACTGTTTTACATGATTTTCAATTGATCATTCCTCATGAATCGAAAAGCTTCGTTCAGAATTCAGTCGTTGCCACGAAAATATTTAGTCAACATTGCGTGCGATTCAATCGAGTTTACAAGGGTCGATGATCCTCATTGCTCAGAAATTGTTTCACCGGCAATGAACCGTATAACCTGTTGCACAGCCCATGTTCTAGTGTCGTCGAGCAAGATTTCCTTAGGACAAATTTAGCGAACTTCCCTTAAATATTACTTCAGGAAAGCTTTGTGTCGTTACGAACCGCTAGCAGTGTTCCCATTGAGCAAAGTTATTAATTTCCCTGATGATCCAGTAGATCAATATTTCATCAGTATCATATTCTAATGACGAATGGTTGCAGCTTAATGTGGTTACTTTCTCCTGTAATTCGATGTTCGGTACACACGTAGTATATCAGAAGGGGGGTGATTAAGGTCTACGTCTACTCGTCATTCGTAGCGGGCTTGACGAAACGGTTTCTCTATCGATGAGCGGGCGCAACCAACGCACGTTTCTTGCCGTTGTTACGCTTCTTATTGCTTTGTCGATTAACTTACTCGAGTCCTGAGAATCGAGAAAGTTCAAAGAAACGTTTCCGAGACCGTGACCATAGGGGACTAACTCTTTCGTTGCTAATATACATACACAGTGGACCCGCATACTTTAACTACTTCAAGTGATATTTATTCGCCTCGTTTATTCCACCGGGCGACCTCATTTCATGCAGTCATACAGTCATTTAAAAAGTCTGTTGCAAAAATGGTGAACTGAATTGAAGTTATTCAGAGTTCCAGAAAAAAAATTATTATACAGAGTCACTTATGTGTTCGGGAGAGTATACATATTTTTATATGCTAATGAGTAGTACGAATATGTAATTGCTTCGATCAATGAAGGTTATTTTTGTGTCAGCGGTAGTACGGGAACACATACCACCAGGAAAACAGTAACAACTGGTTGATGTAGCTCGCTTAACGGTATATCGGTACAATAATTGCGTTATTCTCTTTAAACTTTTACACCTAACGAAACGATTTCACTGAAGACACGTTAGGTCTGTGGCATCCAATTTTGGCAAAGTTAGACATAGCCTGAGAACATCAGTTAACGTTGTTACTGATCGTATAACGAAAGTTCTGCACATTTTGCTCGGAAATGAACGAATAGTCAACGTGGACATTAGATTGGCGTGCACGTATACCGCCAACATTTCTTCCTATTGATTATTTCCCAAGCGAACTCGCTGGCTTTGTTCGAGACTACCTGGACAAATAGACACCAAGTGTTCGTACAGCGCCTAGCACCAATTATACAGTTCTTATTATTAGAAAAAATGATTTCATTTCTATGGAACGAACGTTCATAACGCAACAAATTGTATGACATTTATTATTGTTATGGAAACTTGTGCGATAAGCGCAACGTTACTACCTCTTCTAGTTTTATCTATCGTAGAAATCGTTAAGGTTCGTTTTATTTTCCAACGTAGTTTAATTGCAGTGTATAAGTAACAGGTTTTTTTTATCTAGAGTCCATCTCCTTCATTACTTGGATTTTTCCTGAGAAGTTGAAAAACTTCCTTTAGTTTGGATCTCTTCTCTTCTTAAATGCTTAATCAACATTCGAAGAGGACGACTAAACCGAGTTTTGTACAATTACAAGTAGGGGAAAGTTTGATAAACGGTTCTATTTCGACTAACGTTTTCGTATCTGTTCAAACAATAATTATCACACATAGCCATGTGTAATCACGTAGACAAGAGCATTAGGCGATAGAAGTGCAGCATATGCACTTTTATTTCTCCTTCTCACTTTTTCTCGTCCTCTCTCCTTTTTTCTCTAGCAGTGATGTTAGTGACCAGAGTGCGTGGCTCCGGTTCACCTTCCTACGCATCATCATTGTCCGCGATGTGTTGAATGCAACTGCATACGTGCTTTGTACGGCCTCGTATACAATGCATACGAAACACTGACCGAAACTTGAGTAATGAATATTGCCTTGCGAAACTGTCCCTCACAGAAAATCTTGTAGTAACTTTAACATTGAAAAACCGAGGGGTAACGTAATGTTAAGTGAAGATACTTGCGTCAAACGTGCTTTTAGTCATCGCATTGAATATTTAATTCTTTCTTGCCGCTTGCACCAATGGCACATTTGCAGGCAGACTTATCTTCACGAAAGCACGTGGAAAGTAATGGCGTTCTAACCGCGACCACTTGATCGTCTGTACTACATGCGGTTCTCTTTTCTACTCATTTTATTTATATCCAACAATATGCATATCTACAATTTCCAGTACACCAGCCTGTCCCGCCAATTTTTTTGCGGTCGAGAACGAGACGAAAGTGAGACGGAACTTACGTTGCGACTGACTTGCTTCGCTATCTTTCACATGTACTATCAAGTTTAATGAAAGGAACATGAGTTTTCATAAATAAAAGAGGAAGACCAGGGACGATATATAGGAGTCAATTTCGAGAATAACGTTCCAAGAATCAAGTGGAAGATTAATAGACAATTAATTGAATCGTTCAAGGTGATTGTGATCGACGACGAATGATCGTAATTGAAAATGTTCTGACGAATGATCGAACCATGCGAGCGTGAGCATACGCGCGTTCATCTACCTTGTTCGTCACGTGACTGTAACCAGGTACAGTTATACTTCGGAGGCGTCCTACGTACGGTTCACCGGCAATGGTGTATTCAGTACAACAGGCTGCTTGGAAGCACGAATGATCGTAGAATCCTTCAAGGTTTGTTCGCGGTAACGTGACAACTTGTTCATGGGACCGAGAAAGAAAACGTTCAACTTGGTCCTCTCCCGGGTTTGTTTACGCATTAATTTCGTGTACCAGTATAGTAGTTTAGCGTAAAATACTCTTGCCGCTGAATCTAAAATATTTGGAGGAAAAAAGTCGAAATCAAAGTTGAATAAGAACAACTATTGTCAGCGTTGCGACGCTCCTTTCACGGTCTTTTGCCAAGTCACTGATCGATAATCTACACAACGAAACAAGTTTGCACGGTATACCATGTATACCTAGTGGCTGGCTACATTCCATTTAAAAGAAACATTCTTGTGGGAGTAAAGATTTTTATAAACTTAGCGATTGACCCGAATTCGAAGGAAAGGATTAGAAGCTTGAAGGAACATGCATGTACATACATTATTTCAATTAAATTTCACGTCGGAAGGTCGATTGCGTATTACGCAGATGATAATTGACTCGCACGTCGTTTCTGTGCAAACTTGAGCTCGCAGTAAAATTAAGAGGAGCGGTGAGAACACCGATGAACGTGTTCGAAACGATGACGGTCTTTCAAGGATTGTGCCCGGGGCGCCGTATTAGTCGTTAGTAGATCTTGGTGAGCGCAAGTTGTCTTTTGGCCGCAAAATTTAATCGTAGTAACTAGGAGCCACATGGCTAGGGTAAAAAGATTGAAAGATTATGGAAGATGAATATAAAAAACAATAATTTTACTTTGAATGCAGATGGTCAGTATCGATAGTACATAATGTGTGCGATTAGTTTATGTGGTCGGAAGTGTTGTTCCACGTGAAGGAGATAATTAATGATGTGCGGCATTTCAATCGATCTGCGAAAGAGGAAATAACAACTGCATTGCGGTAACGTTGGTAAATATTTAAAAAACTCATCGAACAGTTACAAACTACACTGTGCAAACTAAATGTCAACGGAATCGGATTTTCTAAACTGGATAGTGATGTCTTGGATTGAACAGTAAACCGGGTGATAGTGATTCAAATTGCTAAATCATCTGATCGATAGTTGCGAAAGGAATTGCTCGAGTTTCTTGTATCGGGACGATGATCGGTTTTCGGAACAAGAAGAGATACGCACCATTGAACTAGGAGAACTAAAAAAGAGAAGGAAGAAGGAGAAGCACGAGGAGGTTGACGTGAATGCGAATATAGGCCATCTTCTTATCTCGCGATCGAGTCAACAGACGAATGAAACCGTAAAATCGTTCCATGAAAGTGAGACAAACGGAAAGGCGAAGTTTCGAAATTCAATTGTTCTTGTCTCCTTTGTTCAATGGGAGATCATTGTAGAACCTTGAACAGTAAAGTGTGTTCCACACATAATACTCCTTGATGCTCGTTAACGCCTTCAAGACAGAAAGAATAATTAAAAATTCATTGATACAAGTGCTCCGTTGCACGTACGTATTGATTTATTAGTGGAACACTTCCTGAAAAAGAAGGAAGAGGAGTAGGAGCGATCGAGGGAAGAGGAAAATCGATCCTGGCTTTGTGGAAACGAACAGGTCATTGGCATCGTTCCTGTGTTACGTGTTCAAGATGAACTACGATTCACCGATTTGCCGGCAGTATTTCTATTGTAGCCAACGTAGACATCGCATCAGGTATATCACCGATTGATCGCCTAGTTTTCTTATAGCCCCGTATATGTTCTACTTGTTATCGAATTTCAAACATCGATACATATAAAAAAACAACATGTATCACATTTGACGACCATCTTAGATTCCAGATAATTCCTATCGTCTCAGTAAAGTTCTTAATCCAATTGAATAACAGGCTTAAGTTCTGTCAGATCCAAAAAGGAGTAGCCGATCATCGGTTACTCGTTTTCCTTGAGAGATCGAGTCGAGTCCCTGGAGTCGAACGTCTCTATGATCAAGGCCCCGAAACTGATTCACGATCCTCTTTTTACAGAAACGTTAGAAAAACAGAATCGGATGCTATCATACTTGAAGCATCAAGGTTGGCATTGATGAACAACTAATTCTTCCGAAACATTAAATACCGCTTGGATTTTGTTTCAACTTCTTTTGTGTGTCACAAGTATTTTACTAATACGCTATGTCTAGAACTTATCATTAATTAAGGTGTACATTTTCTTTTTTAATCATGTGCCACATTCTTTTATTTTCATATTCAGGGGGTGAGTTTTGTCCAAGGCAACGACGAACTCGATGACTATCGCGATGAAGCAAACGTTCGCGTGTTTCTAATCTTGTGTTATTATTAGCATACACGGCCAAAGGTATCGCAGTCATTAGAAGTGGTCAGTTTATCGATTAATCAATAGGACATTCGGTTTCTACCCTCCGTATTTCGGGACCCGGGGATTCAAGGCTTTTGTTATATTTAGATTCTCAGAGCTGATTTCTAATCTTCCCAATAGGACACGTAACAAAAGTTGTAGCTGCTCTTTCATATTTGAAAGATCTTGTTATTTCTTAATTTAAAATATATCTCAATTTAAAATAAACTGGATCGATATCGAAAGAGGCTTCCACGACGGGATAGCGTAATAAGGCTTCGCTATCTTTCCATTCATACGTGTATGAATAATTCACGAATCTTGTCGTTTGAAAAACATAACGAACTGTGAGATTAGTGCAGCGAAGACATATAACTAACTTTCTGTACTCTCTGTGTAAAACAAGGTCGAGCCGAGCCTTTAAGTTGGAACCACGTAGGTGTGTTCTAGTCGCTCTTAAGTATTCTCTCTATTCCGTGATAACGGTACATTGATAATTCTCGATCTTTTATCGACATTGCTGGATTTACCTATTTATTATTTGTTTACAGTATCTGTATTTGTTTACAGTATCTGTATTTGTTTACAGTACCTGTATTTGCTTACAGTTCATTATCGGTACTTCACTAAATTTTAATCAGATTTTAAAGCTTAGTGTAAGTACCCAAAAGCAAACAAAAACCAGAAATAGACACGTACTTATCTGACACTCGATGTTGTCTATCAACTTAAATCTAGATTCACATAAGGCATTCGCCCATCGACCATGAATTTTCTTCAGTAAGAACGACAAATACGATACAATTACATTCGACCCAGTTTCATGACAAATCGATACGACCTTCAATATGATTATTTTACTTACTCTTATCTGGAGCCGCTAGCCACGCGTTCGCATATGTAAAACGGTACTTTGCATTTATGTGATACACTTTACAGGCAATGATCCGACGTACCTTGATTGACTTATTACTTCTTAAATGTTGCATTCACGCAAAAGAAACATGTTCACCCTTCGTCAAACTTAATTTATCTATTAACTTTTACTTTACTATTTGGTACCTATACCTAACATTTCACAGTGTTATCATAGCACTGTAATTCAAATCTGTGTAACTTTTGAAACGTATGAAAAATTCATAAAATCAGACATCTGTTACAAAGTGAAATACATTTTTTATTTTAGAATATGTGAAAGGCAGAGAGACATCGATAGGGATGAAGACAGAGGAGAGGACGAGGACGAAGATGCAAATCCATTAGGAAAGTGGCCGCACGCTCTTAGTCCGGCGTTGGCGTGTCTCAGTTGCACTCTTGGTCTTTTTAACATAAGTAGATTTTCTATCCTTAGTATACAATTCGGAGGTAAGCATAGGAACATTTCATATTCGTACAAAAAGATCGTAGAGGTTTTCGTTGCGCTTTTCATCATTTTTCGTTTTTTTTTTTTTTTAGCAAATTTCATTGTACAGTTCCTGATTTTGTCCCTGGTATTGGGCATTCCACTCTTAACGTTACACGTGTGCCTCGGACAAAGATTAGCGGCTGGATCCGTGGATATGTGGAAAATTTCACCCTTGTTTCAGGGTGTTGGCATAGCGCTATTAATCGCACAAGCGTTTATTGGTATTTATAGTATTATCGGTGTCTCCTGGATGTTCGTGTACTTTAGGTACAATTATCTCTTATCGTGGCATTGATACTTTAAGCTTCAAGCTAGAAATCGGCTAATAACAATAATTTATTTGTAGGGATTCGTTCATAACGAAGCAAGATAAGTACCGATGGGCAGAACCGTTGTCCATGTACAGGGAGGATAAACCTTCTCAGAATAGTAGCAGTTTATATAAACTATACGAAACAGTACCGGATTATTTTAGTGGAGTCGTTCTGCAAAGGCACCACTTGAACGAAGCGGATCCCGGTATCGTAACGTTGAAGTTTCAAGTAGCTTTCAATTTAGCAGTTGTATGGATGATTGTGTTCGTGTCATTAAGCAAAGGTAACTAATCGTTTTCTTATATTTTGTCCACAGGGATGAACATGTAGCTTAATAATTAAAAATTCTTTTCAGGTTTAAGGTCTTATGGCAAAGTAGTTTATGTGTTTACATTGGTGCCTGTGTTCGGTACCTTGGTTCTTTGTACAAAATTACTCGGCCTCACGCCACCGGGTTCTATACATCAGCTCTTTCCTGCCACTGTGTGGACCGAGTTCTTTATTAACGGCAAATCTTGGATAGCAGCCTCCATCGAAGTTTTCCTTACCTGGGGACTGCTCGGCGCGGCTGCCATGCAGGTATAATTATGAAACGGTGCCGTGCGTACTCGCATTTTGTTAACGGAAAACTCATCCGTGAAAATTATCGTTCTTCTAGATAGCTGCTCATAACAAGCACAAACACCTGTTACAGCGAGACACGAGTCTCGTAATCGTGTTAACTATTGTAGTCCTACTTCTCGCGGCTTTTCTAGCTAATACCTGCGTTCAAGTTCTCAAACATCATGGATACATTTATATACCAAGTTCGTTCGGTAAGTATGAAACAGATGTGTTCTATTGCTGGATAGGTTCGAGCACACTCGTTCTAGTATCGTTTAAGCGTATTATATCTACTTCTGTTTTAGAAAGAATATCGTCTTACATGTTTATGAGACCGATGACTCAACCGGCACCACCCGGGTTCAGCAGTACGCCGGAAAGATTTATGGCACACGCGTCGTTTATTGTTGGAGAACGCGTAACTCGTCCCGGCGTCGACTTCAGTGTCGAATCTGGTTATCAAGTCCTGAGATTCTCGACAGAATTAGTTCCCGCGACGTTGGCGTTGTTGGGCACCGAACAAGTATCTCCGTTCTGGGCTGTTCTGTTCTACTTTATTCTAATCCTATTTGGAATAGCTCAACAGGTGTGTAATCCGATACTAACAGAACCAGGTAAACCAAAAGTATTGAATTACGTTATTGTTTAATGTTGTAGTTAGCAATATGGCATTGCGTGATAACCGGCATAATGGCGATCAACGCGAAGATGATGAAACTGTGGGAAACCACCATTACTTTCTTCAGTTGCGCCTGTGCTTACATATTAGGTCTACCGATGGCCACTGAGGTAAATATGATTTTTATTTATTTAACGATTCGCTGAAATATTCTTTTAATGTTCTTCGAGAGAAATAAATAGCAGTGTGCAATAGTTATCACTTCTACTGAGCATTTCCAGAGAAAGATAGATAAGGTATGGGCTTCGAAAAGATTTTTTTTCTCTTTATCAAACGTGTTCGTAATACTTTTATTTACTAAGATAACGATTATCGCTGCGGTACCAACTTGATTAAACGTTTCATCAGTATAGTTAGAATCGTCGTGCGTGTAAAAATGAGTAATCAAATTGATCCAATATCCCGCAGTGCGAGTTGTTATTTTTGCAACAACTTTTTCGAGGAAAAATATCTGTACGATCATGTGAACATATGCGGATCGGTTTTAGAAGAATGTCCGTTTAAATGCGGAGTTTACGTTGCCCGGAAAAATATAAATGCGCATCAAAAAGTATGCGACAGAAACGCTGCGAAGGAGAACAATCAAACAAGCGATGTTGAGGATTTTGTATGGAGAGACAAAATGTTTGATGCTTTAAAGTTGCTTCGTTCCGCGTTAAGAGATGAGGAAACAGAACGTAAAGTTCTTCAAGACAGGGTAACTTATTACTCGAAGTTGGTGCACTCTCAACAAGGATCGATCGATGCTTTACGATTTCGAATCACGGAGATGATAGATGATTACAGACAACATAATGCAACGTTGAATCAAAGATTGAATAGTTTGGAATTGGCTTCTGACAACATGGAGCAGCGCACCAGCTTAAGTTTTCAACGAATCTCGGAGCAGTTAAAGCTTTTACACGATCAGTTTGGCGGCGAACAAAATAAGCACGATGAAGTGCTCGCTAAATGGTGCGAGGAGTTGAAAGATTTGAGAACAGTTTTAGCGAAAGACAGCGCGCACGTCAATGAATTGTGGCAGGGACAACAACGATTGATTAGCGATTTCAAGTTAGAATTAGAAATGAGATGCAAAGATTCGAAGGAGATAATGGAACAGCAAAAGGATACAACTGAGAAAGTGAATCGTCTGGAGGAAGAGATGCAAAAACAATTTGACATTATAACTAAAGAGAAAAGCGTGGTTCGAGGATTGAAATTTAAAATGGCAGTACATTTAGAACATTTGGATCGTCTGGACAAATTGATCAACGATAATCCAAGATCGAACATTTCGGAATTAACCGAGTGTTACTGTACACAGGAGCACTATGATCAGTGCTCGACGAACGGCCGGCTTTTGTGGAGGATCGAGCGTTACAAAGAAAAAATGACCGAAGCTAAGGAAAAAGACTGCGTACTTTACAGTCCAAAATTTTTAAACAAAGAATATGGATATACCTTGAGGATGGAGCTGTTCTTAAATGGATTAGGTCAATGGAAAGATCGACACATCATCGGATGTCTTCGTGTCGAAACTGGAAAGTGGGATCCATTATTAGATTGGCCTTGTATCCTCAAAGCATCGGTTACGTTGAGAAATCAAGAAGATCCAGCGAGCGATATAAAAAAAATCGTGAAAGCTGTGAAAGATTCTAAAGACGTGACTAAAGAAGCTGGAATTTATATGTTCATCCCACACACGACTTTGACCCGTTACTCTGGCTACGTTAAAGACAATTCAATGTTTTTAGATATTCGAATAATAGATATAAGAACGAGCATTTCCACGCCATCCTTGTCGACCTTGTAAACGGTCGGAATTACAAGGCGAATCGTTAATTAATACAATTAATTATATAAACAGATTTTTAAACTTAGTTATTCATTAACTTGAAGGAATTAAATCGTTTGTTTGTATAGTGGGGCATACACGTCGTATATTATTTAGACTATACAATCGGTGGCACGTGGTGGATCATGATTTTATACCTGGTACAAGTTGGTGCTGTATTCGCCGTGCGAGGACGACCGCACAGCGGTGAAGCGGTTGTTGCCGAACTATTTCCACCAACTGGCCGATGTCTTAGGCATTGGGCCGGTCCTTTGTTATCTTTCACGTGGAACGTTGTGCTACCTGTTATCCTTATGGTATGTATTAATCAGAATGTTTGCGTAGGCCATATGTAACTTTTAATTTTAAAAATTAATAGGTACTCAGTATCACGGTATTTAAAAATGCTGGGTTCCGAGAACTTTATTCCTATCGCCGTACTACAAGAGAATATTGGACAGTATGGGCAAAACAACTGGGAGCGGCTATACAATTAATACCGATACTAACAATACCGGCGGTGGCTGTTATTCAAACATGCCGATATTTGAACAATGGTCCACCCGACATATTTGATGTAAGAGTTTTAATATCTGTAATATGTCTTAAGCTGTTCCTTATATGTAATCTCAACTAACGAAGCTTCTATTTCTATATATTAATACATATCTATCAAAAACTATTATTTTTTTCTTGCTAACATTAGAACAATCAAGTGGAAATTAATGTAAATCACTGCGAGCAGTGTAACGGCGTAAGTTTACAATTCCAATTTGTGTATATGTGTACATGTTATTTATCAGATAGAAAACGTGCTCATCCGCCTTTTCCTCCTGCATAACGTGTAAATCATGTGTCCGTTTTACAGAGAATTCAATTACTGTATCGGCCGTCGTTGGAGCCGGACGATCCACGAGACACCCAACCGCATATTGGAAACGATACTAGTACCAGCATCCACGGCAACGGTATCGTGCCAGCGACAACAGAAGTGCCGTTTGAAGATCCACCACCAAAGTACACGCCTCCCCCGAGTTATACCACCGCAACCGGAGCGAGGATAGCGAAAATGTTACGGCAGAGTTTCCGGCGAAGCGTGCGACGAATAGCAAATGTTCTTGGCGAAAGCAGCACCCCAAGACAGAGACCGGCGTTACCACCTCCGCCTCCCGATTATGCCACCGTTCTCGTGGAAATGAATCAGAGCAGACTCTCACAGGATGTAACGATTCAAGTCACCGAGTCGAGGAACGAGAATTCGAACACTCGAAGAAGTAACGTCGCAGAAAGACATAGGCCGAATACGATCGACAGAGCGATGAGAGTCGGCGGTGTGGTGGGATGTCCGATTGAGAGGACGCATTCAACGCTAGAGAGGCCGCGAAGAGCATGCGTCAGTTCGTCGAGCACTTCGAATTTGACTGCAGTCGACGTGGCTAACTTACTTCGTAGCAGCATCAGGAGAGGGACTGTGCGAACTCAACAGTCCCTGCGTAGAAGTCTTTGCCATGAGGAGCCGACGGTGGCAGCGTCCGTTGAAAATCTAGTCGAGGCTGCAGCGCCGATTGGCGAAGAATCCTTGGTCCTTCCGAAGGATGTGTCTCTAGTCTCCAACGAACAGGCTAATAGCGAAAATAGCGAAGATATAAAGAAGACTGCCGAGGAAACGGTCGACTCCGTTTCTGTGATATAGACTGTATATGTCCCTTGTTCCGAATCGTTTACGAAGAAAAAACAAATACGAATATTATTTAATTCCTGCTAGATAGTGTTACAGTAATTTTTATTCCTTTCGTTCCATTCGTATCTATAAAACTTTCGCTTTTAATCCTTTTAATTATACTTATCTTATACTGCGTTAGAAACGATTGTTGATCAATTATCGTGGAAGTTAATCTTATCATTTAGACTGAACTCAGTATTTTTTTACTCTTGTCATGCCTGACGAATTATTGCATAATATCATCCCTATATTTATAGCAACGATCGCGTGGATGCCTAAAACGGAAATCGAGTAAACAACTGGCATATTTATGTTCGCGAATGTTTATTTGCGTTAAGCCACTAGTTTAGAATATACATATATACTTTTTAGCATTCTTAACTGAGATTGTATTACAATGTAAAATATTTCGTTGTAATTCTTTAATAGTTTTATCGTGTTAGTGTATATATAATATTTGAAAGGGTCGTGTAAAGTTAAATCTGCTTACATTTGATTATTTTCTTCATTGATCATAACGGCCTTCTGATGTCATAATACTAAAGAGTCCGTCCAACGTTTGCTTCAACGAAGAGCAGCGAATAAATGAAAATTTACAGTGCGGTGATAATTATTTGCAAAACCCTGTATAGTATGTACGAATAATACAAATTAAGATCGGATAACAAGAATGTAAAAAAATTGCAATGTTATTTACATAATCACGTAGTTATATAGCATCGCGCAAAGATTCTAACAATTTCATATGTGTAACTGCTATACCTGATATTATGGACCATAATAAAGTTTTTATGTTCTTTTTTAAAACTCGTTCCCTGTTATATCTTTATAATGAGGTTCTATGGTTCTCGGTAAATAAAACGGTGAGATTTAAACAACATTCACATTTTAAATATTATATTCGATATCGCATTTAATTACAGAAATAGACATGTTTACAGTTATCTAATGAGACAAAGTACAAAGGAATAGTACAGAGCGTTTTACCTTTTTTTGAACCGCGTGATAGATCTTTTATTTCTTATTTTTTTATTAGATGCCATTCAAATAATATAAATTCTGAAGTACTTTAGCGCTTACACTAAGCGAACGCAAAAGTATCTTTGCTGCAGAAAGCGATCATTCGTTTTTTCAACGTATACAAAATTAAATAAACTATATATATATTACAACCTCGTTATATCCAAACATCGACTCGGAAACAGATGTCTCGCATCTCTTTCGATTATGCTGTTTATCCAGTAAAATATGCCATTTTAAAATGGGTTGCACGTTTATAATATAGTGTGTAGAAGAGAACTTTCTTTTGTAACGTTAAATAATGATTCTTCATTGTATATTTTACGTTTTTATATATTAGTACGATCAAAGAAATGGGCAAACATTTCTGGTTAATGATATCGTTAATAATCAACTATGAAATTATAGTGTGGACGCAATACTATGCTAGTTAAATAAGATTTATAATAATACCTATCGTTTCATAATTAATTAAGGACAAATGCGTAAATAAATATCTCTTAGAAACGTTACAGTATTAATAAGAACTCATAGTGGTAATTCTGAGAAGATCGTTTGCCCATTCCCTGTATTACTTTTATCGTTATATACTTTTATATTCTAACTTTCCTTTTTAATAGTATTTAATTCAAAGCAGTGGATGTAAGAACAGCGACTCCTCTCTCGTAGAAACTATGAGGATCTTGACTAGGAGCAATGTTTAAATCGACGGTGAACAGTAATTCAGTACGGGTGCTGTTTAAGTAAACTGGCAAAGACAGTTTGCCCTTTCGTACATCGTCGGTAGTAGATCGTATCCACCTCAACATGGTAACTGGTAGATCGGTCATTATCGTTGAAGTCAGATATAATTGATTCTCCTTGCATTGCGCTCCTTGCAATTTGAGACCGGTTACAGCGAACGAACAATCATCTGTTGCAATGTTATCGCTGTCCCCTATAGTCACGTCCAACTGAAGTTCTTCCAGAGACCAACTGTTCGCTTGTGCTATACACTGCCTCGTTGCGGTAATGTATGCTTCTGGATTCAACAATCCGCCAAGCCAAACGGGGAAACTCTAACAAAAAAAAGTATATGGTTACAACTCACGCGGACAAGTTAAGTAGAATTGAAGATACGAACTTTAATTTCTTTGGCTCCTCCTTGAGACACTAATCGTGAAACTTCTTGCAACTGTGAAACTCTGTGACTGAAATCCGTTATCCATTGTATAACCGTACAGCCTCTCGGCACCGTGTACCGTCTCCATCCGCCAGGTAGAATGCCCTTTACTAATTCCGATAACATGGTTCTGTGATAATTGGTCTGTTTCTTCTTGGCCTGCAAACAAAATACAGAAAAACATTTATATCTAAATCATTATGCAATATAACATTAATGGTGGAAAGGGTATTGAAAATACCTGACAAATCAGAACAACGTCCTCCAAGTCATGGATCACATCTTGCAACAACTTAGCACCGCTATTGACTTCTCTCTCAAAGTATCTATAGAGAGGATCTTTAATATTTTCTACGGTTCTCCTCAGCGTTGGCAAATTCTTTGGAAGCAACTGTAACCACGTAGACGCCGAATTGTGCAAGGTTCTCATCCATGACGGACGACCGTCAGCCTCTGCTTCTCTGGGGGTGTCCAATGATTCCTCGTTAGAGTAAGCTAGTTCATCTTCGTCTTCCAGCTGTTGCATTTTCAATAATTTGGACACCAAATCTGTGCCTCTGGTAGTAAGCAACACCTTCTCCGCATTATTCGGTAGGCCAAGCCACGATGGCGTCTGCCTATCGGATAACGATTCGATCCATTTAAGGAAGTGATCGCGCCTGGTGCCATCCGGCATAGTGATGTGTCGCTGACTTCCTTGCAATCCGTCGATGTTCGCAACAAGTGCAAAATCTGCTTCGAAGGATCGCGGAGTGAAAAGTTTCCGTAGGAATGACGCGAGAAGACGTTGGTCAAAATCATTGTCGATCTTGCCACCGTATATGCACTGAGAGAGTAGCGTTACCAGGGCATCCCAAGGAACCTTCTCTGGTGGCAAGTTGGTTCTTCCCATAGCAGTCGTCTCTATCCACGTATCCAAAGTATCACAAGCCACTCTTAAGTCGCTCTCATTGAATTCGTAGTGTTTTGCCCATCCTAATGGCGCGTAACGAAGACGTTCTTGAACGATAGCATGGAACCACGCCAGCAAGAAGTAGAGACGTGCTCTTTCATTAGGTGGTTTCATCATTCTTGATGCCGGCACGGTGCTGAACGTTCGCAACAGATTTGCTCTGATACCTGGAGGCGGTTCGAAGACGAATATTCTACCAGCCCTTAGCAGATTGACGGGCACTTTCGGATTGATTTCCATAGTCAGGAATAATCTAAAACTAGTATGTGGCTGCAAACTGTGTAATTTCTTTTCGAGTTGCACCAACCACTGCGGTGCCAAATGGACATTTTTCAGTAATACCCATCTGCCGGCTTTAACGGCCATGTTTATCGCTCTGTCGGCTTGATTGAAACCTTCCGCGGATCCAATCGCGATGCTTGCTATCTGTTTACCAGATTCGGCTGCCAGATCGTCTACACGGCCGGAAGCATCGAAGCCTGGTACCGAACACAACAAAGCAGGCACAGTAGCTTTCAATTCATTTTCAACTACAGAAGCGAAATCGAGTTCCGCTTCTGCAGCAGCCATGAAGGATTCACCTAAGGCTGAAGCAACGACTAAAGACGCTGCAGCTATTACGCGATCCGGTCGGAATGCTTGGATTATCAACAACTGATGCATAGCTGTTCCAGTGGGCGTTAGCGGTTTCTCTTCGTCCCAGAGCTTCGGTACGCAGTTCTCGGGTGTCGGCGATTGTAACCACGCATTGAATTCTGCATTTTCTTGTATCTTTTCGGCTAGTTTTCTGAAAGCTGGCAGTCTAAGGCTTAATCGTATCATTGCTTCTTGCTGTTCCGAGCTCAAGTTGGGCACGATCGGTCCCCGTATGTTCAATACACCTTCTTTTCCTCGTAAGAAGAATGTAAACTCGCTATCATATGTCGATTCCGTTGTGATACCTTTCAAGTGTATTCTGCACAGTAATAACGCGAACGTCAATCTATCCGTGTGCAACATTCCACGCGCGACGCGTTCGTAACAAGCAGAGAACAGATCGCTCGTTATAACGGAAAGTCTTTGTGTATGATCGGTAATATTGGAAAGCCTTGGGTTTTGACATAAAACCGAGGTGAAAACATCTAAAAACATTTTGAGAGAATACTGATACAAGAAGTGAACTTGATTTAAGCTGTCCATAGTGAAATACATGTTCGAACATGCCTGGGAGAGTGGCATGTACTGTTGAGAGACAGTTTCAATTTCTGCTATCACTTTATCCGTTTCTTCGACTTTCTTACTGATATCGGCCGCTTCCTGTTTCAAAGTTTCGAGAGTAGTTATCACAGAATCGTCGTCAAGGATCTTTCCTTTGGCATCGTTCAACGCCTGTAGCAAAGATTTCTCGAGCTGCCTGAGTCGCAGATGGAATTCACCTTGCAATTTTAACAAATCGGATCTCTTCTCGTCAATATCCGGTCGTTCCGCTTTCAGAACTTGATTCAAGCATTGACTCTGTAATGAACTCCTGGTAACAGTGAAATTCACGAAAGTAACACGAGAACAAATGTCTGGCGGGAATTCCACCGTTGGGTCCCTCGTGGACAAGAAAATTACAAACGACGGCGAAAGATCGATATCTTGATCTCCTAGCGTGATCAACACACGGCCACCTGTTCTTCTCAATTCTCTGTTTAGAACAGGATTCAATATTGGATCGTAATTTTCGACGTCCTGCACCAATAATGGATTACCAAATCGCAAAGCGCTTTCTAGATTCTTTCTGAACGAATCATCCAAAAAGCTCGTCTTAGTTATCTTCCGATCTTTGAACTCGTTCATTATAAACTCTGTTGCTTGGCCCGATGGATCGATAATCAACGGGTACCTGTTGAATCGCTTCAACATGATGGCATTCTCAGTGCAGAGATCGTCAGTTGGTAGAGCATTCGCTTGCCATCTCAAACGCTCGTCAGGATTCGAAAGGTATTCTGTTCTTGCTATATCTGGTCTGAATTGAAGATTCGCTTGTTGTAAATGTTGGCACCAAGTACTGAACAAGTTCTGTCGGTACTGAAAAAGAGAAATGAAAAATAAATAAATTATCAGTTTATTCTTATTTTCTTCAGTTAAGAAAAATTCTCTAAGTACTTACATGCTGATCGAAGTATCCTGCGTAAGCTAGGAAAGCAGATGATAGGAGTACATCACCGATAATCGTGGACATCTGGCTCTTAAATGTCTCGCTAGTCGCTTCCCATCGTTCTCTTTCGATCACCAACGATTTTAATAAGGCGATAGAACGATCTACTTTGGCTTGTACACTTTCCAGATCGGCTTTGATAGCTTGTGCCTGAGAAATGAGCTGAGCGTATTCTTCCTTGTACGAAGCTATGCTCTGCTCCAACTGAGCGATTAAGTTCTTCACTTCCTCGCCTTTGTGTTTATTCGTTTCCGCCTGTCGCTCCAACGAATGAAGTTCGTCTCTCAAAGGCTCTACACGCTTCAACATGTCCGCGTATTCAATCTATAATCGTTTGATTACGTTATCAATTATGGATCTATTTCTCTATTAAGAATATAATTATGTAAGATAAAAAATATTAATTACCTGTGCGGTAGCCCATTTAACGAGAGGCCCACATGCCATGCTAGCGCGATTAACTTTCTCAAAGTTATATTCAGGATTGCTCAAGTATTTTTGCTTCATTTTTTCCCTGACTTCATCACTACATTAAGTCAGAAAATGTAACGGTTTAATAACATTTTTACAACGATTATGAATGATGTTTTAGCATAGTATATTATATACAATTATTGTTAGTAACAAAATAAGTTTGCTAATTATCTTCGTTCACATGCTTTAAGTAATCAACGATTGTGCTTTGTGAATTATTGTACATATTCTTTTAAGTTTGAGATCAGCAAGCACAGAAATTAGTTATACACACATACGATTATATTAGTATCATACAAATCTCTTAATCATTCGTCTGAATAAATTAACGTCATCTTATTCCACTGTGATCATCTATTATCTCGAAATGATGTCTGTATCAACGAATCGTGTTCGCTGATCCCTTGATCGAAGAATTCGATCGTGTGTCGAGTTAAAACGAACAATGAAAGCATGCTTACGTTATATCCTCAGTACTGAAATTAGAGACGATAGTATTGATGAAATTGTCTCTCATGATGACAGCGCGGATAGATTTCCAATCGCTGGCATTTTCACCGAGCAACAAGCAGATAGACTCCAATGCGACCTTCACGATCGCCGGCGGATTCGCCATGGAACGAACTTCGACTAAATGTTGTTTCTTTATCGATTTCACCGCTATACAAACAACACACGAAAGGATTTTATATAGTACAAAGAAAAAAATGTGCTGCAGGCAATGTGCAAATTAGGAGAGTTACAACGATGTTACACGAAGAGCAGCCGCATCGGTTTAGCAGACCTATAGAAAAGTTAGACATGAAGAGAAAATTTTATTTACATTAACATAGTTCTTTTTACGTATCATGTTACGTCCTTATAATCGTTCTTGACGGATATTTCACGATACCATTCATTTTTATGTGAAAGAAAAGTATTTTATCCAAAAAGCATTTCACGGTTTTTTTCATCTTATAAGAACGCATAACTGTACGTGGGTGAGTATCAGCAAATAAATATAACATATACGTTAAGCGGTTATTTAATCATAATTTGCCTTTCGGTAAATTCCTACGCGAGTATTCAACATTCAACGAATCCAGAAACATTTCTTACGCTATATCCTCCGTGTTGAAGTTGACGATCGTTGGTATGAAACTATCTTTCATAATGACAGCGCGGATTTGTTTCCAGTCGGTAGCATTTTCCTCGAGCAACAGGCATATAGACTCTAAAGCTACCTTTACGATGCTTGGAGGATTCGCCATCGATCGAATTTCGACAAGATACTGTCGCTTAATCCCCTTCACGGCTACACTCATCGCAAATATTTTTCAGCGCAATGTGCATTTTGTACGCGTTGTTCACGCGTTAAAGAATATAAAAAATGATAGCAACGAGTGTGCGAAAATATACGAACCATTTGCATTCGTAATACATTCGCGATAAAGAGGTGATTAAAAATTGTCAAATAATACGTACCGTTTTGTGCGTCGATGACGGCCGGTTCGACTTGTGCTAAATCAGCCATGACATCGTCTCTCTTTTGATTAATAGCTACGGTTTGTATAGCCAATTGTTGTTGAATTTCTTGACTTTGCACCTTCTTCTTCTCTGCTTCCTGTTGATCCTTAACCATTTGCCGCAATTTTGCATTCGCGGCTTCGTTCTTTGCGTGTAGTTCCTGTAATATACATTTCGTGTAAAGGTAGGAAAAATATTTCTATTTTTTTCATCCACCCTACCTGAGACTTTATAGCTAAACTCTTTTGCATCTCTTCCACCTGTTCAACAGTCTCCGCGATTTTACTTAAACCGACATTCAAATGTAACTGTTGTTCCTCTAAATCGCTCCTTTTTTCTTGATACAATTTCACAAAATGATTGATGAAATCCAAATAATGACGAGGAGTGATGGCCATTGTTCGACCGCCACGTTTAGCGAGCCTGGCGTTAGCTTTATGCAATGTTTGGTGTACGTAAACGCAAGCGTTTATTACGGCATCTCTGTGAGAAGGTTGCGCTGGAATCAGGGAACAAACCGAGGGGAAGAAGTCTGGACACCTCCACGTGGGTCTTTCCAAATCCACGCGACTGGTGAACTCCTTGCCGACCTGGAAGAGAGCGTTGTCCGACCAATCGCCGAACCAATTTAATACGCATCTGTTGAACAATGCTGGTGAGGTTGCAGCACGATCCTTAAGACCATCCGTGCTGGGGTTCATCGTGAATACCACGTGTAAATTCTTCATGACTTGACCAGTAAACCATTTGTACAATTCCTCATTCGAATCTAACATAAGACCCTCGCGCTGTGCTCCTTCTTTGCATTGCGTCATGAGCGTTGTGTACTCGTCACCCTCAAACAAGCCGGGTACTTCTCCATTCGCAAGCAGAGTGTTCATGCGTTCCAGGAAACCGGAATCTAGGACATTAGACTCATCGAGAATGAATGCTATCTTCTCGTCTTTACAACCGGATCTTCTTAAAACTTGACGTAGATCCTCATCAAAATCTTCACCCGTGTATTTGTTATGAACCTTAAGATGTAAATAAAAATTAAAGTGACATTTTTAAGTCATGTAAATAAAACAACCTATAAATGTATACCTTTATTTGGAAAATGGACAAGCCATTCATCCAAGCAACGAATCTAGACAGAGTTGTCTTGCCAGCACCAGAAACACCAATTAGTAGTAAGTGTCCCTGAGGCTGACGGAAAATTCTGTCGATTCGTAACACGTGTTCCAGAACCTCGTCGAAAAGTACCAAAGGAACGTCCAATTCTTCTTCGTAAAATACTTTCAATCTCGCCCTGACATAATCTCGTAATTCTTGCCTGTTAACCGGCACGTAATCTTTGGATAACCAGTTGCTGTACAAAATGGGTCTGGCTAACGATTTTTCCTTATCCACGCCCATAAAGTGTTTCATTGCGACTGTATCTATATTTTTGTTGGTCCAAGCTCTCTCGGAATCTTCCACCAGTCTGTCCTGGAAGAGACGAAGAGCCTCGTGCGCCCACAATCGTACCAAACCTTCGACCGACAAACTGTCGAGAGGTCTAATAGCTTCACAGATGCCACGCACCCAACGCGTCATCTCACGCGGAGAGTAAACATAATGCGGTTGCATGTCTTGTGTAAATCTTTCCTGCGAAGCTAGATAGAACTCTACCATCGCGTTTGTTAAAGGCTCCGCATATCCTCTCAAAGAAGGTGTCAACCTGCAGAAAAGAATTACAAATTGAATAAATTTTGTATCTCTTACGAATAGAGACAATAATAGTTAAGATTTAACACTCTTACCGAAGCATAGCGCGCGTAAATGTGCCATAAATTTGCTTCAACGATGTTTCTCCCGGATAGTCGACATATATAACCGGAACGTGGCGTAAAAATCTATGACTGAGAGGCTTTCTACCTGGATCTGTAGGAGGATTACAAGCACCGACGAACTGTATTCTCTCTAAACTGACCCATGCTTGATCGCTAGTTCGGTAGAAACCTCTATGTTCTACCAATTGTCTTAGGAACGAGATCACGCGTTGTGTTCCATAGTTATCCATATCAGGTAAATTAATTTCATCGCAAAATAGGACCAGCCATTTGCCCAGCTGTACTGGTGAAAGCACAACACCATTTGGTGTTTTACGATACTCGCAGTAGTGATCGAAAGTTTTTAACAGCAATTCGGGCGTTGTGGCGGACGAGAAGTTGAGACCAACGACTTCCATATCAGGTAGAGCTCGCAAAGCGGAGAACAGGGTCATGGTTTTACCCGAACCCGGCGGCCCGCAAAGCACTGGAAGTGTAAATTACGAAAACTCATAATACAGTTCTGTAATCGTTCTAAATCAATGTCTATAGTAACATTACAATTACCTATTGGTTTATGCTCAGCCAACCACGTGTATAGTAAACTCTCATGCCTCACGGTGTCCAAGGTAGGTACAACGATATCTGGGCTAGCGACTTTGTGCGTTTCTACTTCGATTTGTGGAACTTTATTGCTCCAAGGTAACCACTCACCATGGATACTAACTTCGAAATCGATGATAGGAATGTTACTTTGCGTTGGCAAAGGTACGGTAGTGATTGACCGAACGAAATCGCCCAAGTCTGATCTAACTTTCAACTTAGCATCACCAGCAAAACTCCATAGCAATGCGTATACTAAACATTTCGGGATGTATCGTTCCAGTTGTTCGTTCGGTAACGGGAAATCGGTATGTGTATGGTTATACTGCAAAACGTTGCGTACAGCTTGATTCAACATAGAAAACAACGAACTTAACGCTCGAAGACGCGTAAAGTCCATTATGTGTTCTTGTTTCATCGCGTATTCTAGACATCTCACTACCAATCCGTCAGGAGCAAAGTAGCTTTGCAAAATGCTAGCAACTTCTCTCTGCACAGATAACGCGGGAGACATAGTTTCGTCTTTCTCCGTTGCCTTCTTGCCGAGATTATCTTCTTCACCATCTTCGAGTGGAATGTTTTTCAAACGTAGCATGTAATTCTCGAATATCATCTCCGTTGAAAGCACATCCTCGGAGAACCAAACCATACCGCAACGGGAAACGGTAGCCAACGTGGCGTATTTCAGATCTTGGACCTCGAACATAACTCTCACATTCGGTGGTAAACTCAAACGTTCACCATTTGGTAACGTAAGCAATTTATTATCGTCCAATACGGAATTTAAATTCTCTACCCACTCCGGATCGACATCGCCGTCGAATATAATCCACTGTCGTTTGTTAATTTCTCCTCTCACGTTATCAATGATCTTTCTGAGGATATGCGTAAAAAGCCCGTCCGTCCATTCGCGTGTATTCGGATCCAACACACCGTATAATGTTTCTTTGCTGATAGCTTTAGGGTCGATCACATGGGCAACTCCTTCTATACCTTCGAATCTCTCTAGAGCTTTCAATAATACTTTCCACGCTGTCGTTTTTCCAGAACCGCTCGGGCCGACCATCATCAATCCATGGTTCAGATTGCAAATTTGGTAAAGTTGCAGCACCTACATGAAAGCGTTATGTAGAGACGTTAATTAATGAAATAAAAAGAAAATGACAGTTATGACAACCATGCGAATTCACGAAATAGGATCTTTATGAAATCATAAGATATTGATCATGCAATCACGGTTTAATTTTTGTCTCACCTTTTCTACCCAGGTCTCACCGACCATTTCCTGGGGGTGCGCATATGATAAACAGTTCAACAATTAGGAGGACATAGTTTATCATACAGTTAGTTTTCTTTACGGAATTTATAAAACTTTTGTCAAATCACTTATTCTACGTTATGTCATGCATATTAGTTCTAACGATGAAATAACAGGGTAATGGAAATGACGAAATGATTTACAGTACGTTGTCTTATAATGTTATCTTACCTTCTCCTGCCAAGCTCCTCCTTGTTCGTCACCCTCGCCGCAAACAAAATACTCCTCCATGCATACCTTCCTAATCTGATCTTTCAGTCCTGATAACATAATTTCATTTATAGTACACAAACCATATAATAAATGCAAGACATTACTCTAAAGCAATGATTACCTTTCATTTCAGCACGTGTGTAATTTACATTCGGGAACACATCATTGAGTAAACTGAACAGTAATGGAATATCCTCGGCGACTAATTTTGGTACCATTGTCTCGCAAACAGATTGAATGAGGATTTCTTGTTCCGGTAAATTTTCAGCAATCGAAGCTTCGTCGATATTAGTTTCGCCGCGAGTCTGCATACCTTCCTTAATTTTTTGAATTCGATCACGTTTAACATTTCCAGCGGAAATAAGTACAGACTTGAGCGCACGCAGACCAAAATCATAATGAGATTGATTGGAAAGTTGTTCATCGCACAATCTGAAGTTAATATCATACGTTAAACAAATAGAGAAATATACATACATTTATTTTAATAAAGAAGTAAGTTGGTAACAAACTTACTTGAAGAACGGTACGATCTTGCAGGCTAATTTTTCAGCTGATCTGAAACCTTGACTGAAAAGCATTACTTCAGCGATTAATTGTCTGTCGGGGGTGGTCATGGCTAGTGATCTGAAGAGTTTCTTCAAATTATCAGGTAGATTCGATCGTCCAGCATAGCCTGGATTCATTGTAATAAAGATCGCCATATCCGTGGATACTTTAACTTGTTTTCCCACTAACTCTACGCAAAGCATCCCTTCTTTCTTTCCTTCCATTTGACTCTTCAGTGCCTCTTGAATGGTTTGCACTTGTTGAGAAACCGCTGAAAGCATACGTTCTTCGAGGCGATTGAATTCATCGAAGCAGCCCCAGGCTCCGACTTGGCAAAGACCAACGAAAATACGACCCATTGCTTGGAAGTCGAATGTTTCATCACAATTAAATACTAATACAAATCTTCCAAGTTGGTGGCCAAGCGCTTTAACCGATTCGGTTTTTCCTGTTCCAGCCGGTCCGAATGGAGAACCTCCAAGACGAGCTTCCAAAGCCTGAGTCATAGTCAAGTAACATCTATCGGTCAACGGTGTTTGTACCAATCTATCTTGTACTCCTAAGTATTCGAATCCATAGAAGAATTTCGCGTTTGCCATATGAATCGTAAGTTGTTGCAAAACCTCGGTTTGTCTTGGATCGAAATAGAATCTCATTTCGCACAGCCATTCGAACGCTTTCGGGTTCGAAACTTTGTTCGCTATTAATCTTCGTGTCACTGTGCGTTTGTGTACAAATTCGTTGATCAAATGCTCTAATTTCTTTCGTCTCAACGCAGGTTGTTCTTGAAGGACAGAATCCGCTAAAATGTTCAGCGTACCCTCAACTTGAAGCAACACTCTCTCCAAGGAGTTTTTGCCTGGATCGTTTTGCACTTCATGAAGAGCAGCTTCCACATCTTCCGACCATAAAATCTGAGCTGCCAAGACTATGATTTGAGCCTGATAGTTATCACACCATTTCATGAAAGCTTGAGCATTAATATTGCCATCTTTGAACTGTTTGATATCTTGCACTGCTCTTGCGAGGCTTGACGCCAACGTGACTCTCATCTCTTTTTCTACGAGAGTTAACCATTCGTTAATTTTTGGGTGGTCAACAGTGGATACTGGATTTTGAAAAAGTACTTCTTCTCCTTCGCGTGATGCGATCCCGGTAATGACGGTGTTATCTTCATTCAAAAGAATAGCAGCTATGCCGGCAAACATTTTCTTAAAATGTTTCTGCAATCTTGCGATGTTTTTACTGTTACCGATGATTTCCAACAGATCCTCGTCACCCACGAAGTAAAATCGCGGAAACGATGTGCGCTCTCTTTCGAGATACTCTCCTAGAGCTTTTTGTATTTTTCCCAGTAGATCAGCCAAACGTTCGAGTGCTCTCTGTACACCTGGAATGTTCAGGACGTCCATCACCATTGGAGATTTTGATACTTTCTTCATAAGTCCAAGAAACTCGGAACTGATACTCTGGAAGCGAGACGTTTCAACGGGTAGCAGAGTTTTAATATCAGCGCTTCCCGAGAAGATGCCTTCCAAATAAACCCAACGTCGTTGAACATCTATCCACACGTCAAATAAGGCGTTAATTCTATTTAACTTCTCTTCCCAAGTCAACGCCTCTTCCTCGAACACCTTATAATAAGGCGAAAGTTTCATCGCAGCTACGGAATTGATATGTTCCTTCACTTTATTAAACAGATCATCCCAACCGCGTATTAATCGACATTTGCTTTGGTAATTTATTAGATCCAATTCATAAGTTTGCCAAGATTCTCGTACTTGTTTCAAGAATTCTTCCAATGCCATTTCACCTTGAGCAACAAGAATAATGTCTTTGACAATACTCTCATTCTTCTGCAGATTCACGTCCCAAACTTGACCAAGGGTGAGCTCACTTAGTACCCAATTTACTCGCAACTGTTTCGTTAATTGTTTCCAGTGTCTCTCTTTCAAAGCGTCCGACTTTAATTCGACGATCAGCATATTAACTTTGGTGTAATTTTGTAGCATTTTTTTAACGTATTCGTATGAAGAATATTGTCTCAACCTAGCTGGTAATTCCTTAAGTTGCGCCATCATAGCGTCCAATTGTTGACGCAATTTCCTTGGTTGAACGGACAGCCATGGCTTCTCTCGCGTATCGTCGATCTGTGCCCATATTTTCGACAATTCCGACCAAACTCCTCTCAAGTCTTGAAGTTCTTCGAATACTACTTGCATTCTGTCTTCGGTAGTGGATACTACTCCCGGTTCTTGCAGTTCCAAAGCTTCTTTAGCCTTCGCCACATTATCTCTTTCTTCTTTCAATCTGGCGAACTTGCTCTCGAATAGCTGTAGTTGTTGTAACGCATCATCCGGTCGCAAGTGACCCTCGACCGGTTTACCCTTTTCCCAATCGCTTAGGAAATCAGTAGTCCTTATTTCAACCGCTTTATCCTCCGCTACAATCTTCATTTGCAACGACGCGACTTGTGTCTGTATACTAGTATCCTTCCTCTTGATTATCTCGTTGAACGCACTCCATTCTCCTTCTATGTTATCTACGTGCAACCACGACGAAGGGAACTGGAACCTCTGACGTTCTAATATTCTTTGACCCTCGCGATATATGTCAACTTGTTTTTCCCAAGCTTTCATTTTACGTTTCAAAGATTGAACGTAAGTAATGAATCCAACCGCATCCGAAGTACTGGCAGCTTCGATCGACTGTTGTTCTAAATCACTCCTGGACTTCGATACCTGCGCGTGAAAACTAACCATTTCGTTACCGAGAAGAGTTCCGAATTTGCCAAGCGTTTCCTTGTGCCATGAATCGTACTTCAAAGACACTTTACTCTGTACTTTCGCGAAATCGATGATAACGGGGCCGAATTCGCGTCTGGTATCCGATGTATCGAATGTAGCTCTAGTCTTCTTGATATCGTTCAAACACTTCATCCATAAGTTTATATTATCTCCCAATTTTCCGTACAGATTGTCCGGTTGGAGATCCCAGAGAGCTTGATAACGCAACCACTGATCCACATAATCGGCGATATCCTTCATTTTGGACTCAACTGCTTCGTAAGCTGCTTCTAAAGGTTGCTTTCCGTTGGGCAACTTCGTAAGTAAATTTCTGTAAGTACCAGATTCGGGCTTGTCCAAGCCCACTTGATACCTCGAGCTCTGAAGTCGAACTTGCGAAGTAACAATGGCTTGCCAGGCGAATAATTGTTGCATTATTTGAAATCTTGCATCTTCAATGCTCGGATACAAATACATCGTCTGATTTGTTATTCGAACTTCGTGTATCTGGTTTTGAATGTTCGGATCACCTCCTGGTTTGTGAGTAGGGTGAGACGGCGCATCCGTATCCATACTCAGATCAACTTCTTTCTTTTGACCGGTAAGTGCATCGGTCCACGCTTTGATTCCCGCTTCCAATCTGGCTGCTAAATTCTTTTCTACTTCCTCGTCCAGCCTGGACACCCAGATGTTCAAATTCGAATAATTATTCAAAGATAACTCGTCCACGGCTTTTTGAATTTTTGAAAGTATTTCGGCGAATGTGTTTGCCGAGTAAGGGCATGTTTCGATAGAGCGAACATCAACGTCTAGTTGTTCTTCGACTACGACGAGATCTTCTACCTTCTCTTGGAACGAGACAACAGCATCGGAAAGACGTTGCACATATTGATCCAGTTTGTAACTTTCCCAAATCAGAGAGATTCCCTACGTTAAAATAATTGAGATAGTTGTAGTTAATGCCAAAACTAACTAATCTTTGTAATACAATTATGATTGGAACTTACTTCGGAAATAAGCGACAATACATCGTTTCGCATTCCGGCAACTAAAGGTATAATACTGGCTTTATCTTCGATCTGGGAAGGAAGATGAAGTATGAAAATAACAATTTAAAAATACAGTTCGATCTTCGTCCATACCAATACACTTTTACGACATAAATTACGATTTACCATTCAATGATAGGACAAATAAGAAAGCAAACAAAAGTTTTATATGTTCCTAGCTTATGCTAATATCATTTGCGTTCGATAATTATGGAGAAATGTAAAATATTGATTACTAAGAATTTTCGGAATATGCAGACAGCCAAACTGTTCAAATCAACTAATGGCATATGAAATGGAACTGATGGTTTTTGTATAAAATTAAAGGCTACTGAAATTAGAGAAATAAAGATGTTCTCAAAATTTAAGTACTGAAAAATAGGAAGTCCCGAGTTTTTTCCGGCTTTCCGTAAACCCTGTATTGGACCTAATCATGTTTTAATCAATAGTATACTAGTTGCTTCCAATTGATCAAAATAAAATATGTATCATCTTGCAATATACACTTTTCTACGAGAGCTAAGCAGGCACATAATAATAATAATAATTTGCAGATATAGCAAGATGCATAATTCCTGAAAGCATCGTATATGACTACCTTCAGCGTAGGGCAGTGGGGACTCCGATTGGTAAGCTAAAAATATTGGACATCCAAGGAATTAGAAATATCAGTATTGCTAATATATTCTATTAACCATTGTCTATCCTTTAACTCGCAATTTTCAAACCTCAAAATTGGTCATACTTATCGTAAAAATAGTGGTGAAAGCTTTTTAAGATCATACACCAAATTCAGATTCATGTAATTAAAAAGACAATACGTTACCTTTTCGAGCGTTCTTTCGTAAGTCCTGATACTTTCGATCAAGCTGATGGCGAAGGGGTATAACTGATTGGCCTGGTGCGCTCTGTTCATAATCGGTAAGGGTACGCGGAAACCGAGATTTCTCAAATTCCTCACTTCCTTCGATAACGTAATAATTTCAGGAAGGAAATTCACTTTTAGTTTCAATATGTTACCACGACCCGTTCGCGATCGTACGTTTTCTATAGTGAAAATCCTTCCGGTAACACCGAGATTTCTCTGTTGCACTTTACGTGCCCAATCATCAAAAATTTCCTGAGTTGACAATTTCATGCGGAAACTATCCCCGTCGGCTTTCAATTTTTGACCCTCAATATGACTTTCCCATCCTTTACCTATCAAAGTACAATGAGTAAGAACAATAAATTTCTAGTATATATGTTTTTGATATTTACCTAATACATCCTCAACTCGTTTTAAATACATCGTAAGTTGGTAATCTATTTGTTTAACCCAGATAATAGAGCCAGCAACAGGTGGTAAATCTCTTACTGTACTCATCTTACAACATTTGCTTTGCGCATACTGAACCTGTTATTAATATAATCATTAGTAATCGTAAATAATCGGTGTTGCTTTCCTGTTGCTATACCTTAAACTTTTCATGTAATGCTTCGATATCATCCTTTACTCGTTGTATCAACTGCGTCTGGTATTCTCTGATAGCACCTCGAATGTGCGGCCTTACGAAAAGAGCATTAAAGCGCGAGAAAATTCTGAACATCTCATTTGCGTTTTTCGCGGTACCCAACTGATCTCGGAGATGTGCTGTAATTCTCGCTTCGACTTGCTCGATACGATCTTCGTATCTGCAAACAGCAGCTTTCCAAGATTCAACGCCTTCCTTCGTGATATCTAGGCAATCAATTTCCTTTACGTTTTCGTATGCTAAATTCACTTCGCTAATGGCGTTTGCATCCGCAGCATCCAAAGCGAACTCTATCTTTACGTTATCGTTATCTGGTGTTTCTATTGCAGGGTTGCTATTATTTTGACGTACAGTAGGTCTGAGTACGCGAACGATCACTGTTCGAAGTTGTTCATGTTGTCGACGGAAGTTTCGCATTTGTTCCATCCTAGTCTGTAATTTTTTATGCGCTAACGAAACTCTCCATACCATTTTCATGTGTTCCTCGCGCTTTTTCTTCACGATATCTCTCAGTAGACCAGTTAATTTTTCATATTCATCATCCCATGTGTTAAACACATCAAAACATTGTTCCATAACTTTCTCAAATTCATCAAACGGAATGTGCATTAATCTCCTCGTACCTAACACTTTAAGAAGTTGCTGACCCAGATCTCTGGAGATTGCTTCTATCAATCTCAGCGCCCTTTGGACTGGATACTTCGTGTTCCTGATCTTTCTCAAGTGCATGAATATTTGCTGTACACTAGTTCTTATTCTCTCGAGTTCTGTAGCCGACAATAAATCATTGATTGGAAAGTCTTTCATCAACGGATTGTAATCATTGACGGTAGCCAAAGCCTGTTGTAGGCCAGTATCTATATCAAAACTAACTGTCGCATGGAATCTTTTCCCATGCTTAAGTATGTCAAGTGTCAGTGTTATTTCTATACTTTCCCGTTTTTCTTGTATTCTATGCAGTGCTCTCTCCAAATTTAACCAGAATGAAATCTCTTGCAAAGCAGTACCTGATTCCGGGTCACGATTCAATTTAGTGACCTTCTGAATTTCTTTAATCCATCTGTTAACGCCATTCTGCAATTGATTCAGGAATGTTGAATCCTCGACCTTATCACCAAAATCCGCGACTTTGGGTTTACGATTTTCTTCTCCACACTGTTTAATTACTTGTGCCACGAGCGGATGAATTTGTAAGGATATCTCAGGTATATCAATGTTTTGTTGTAAATGCAATAAACCCATTTCAAGTTCTGCTATCTTCTTTTCTACAGATGGTGCCATTTTATCACCTTCTCTGTCTGCACGGCCTGTTTCTTTTACGTAACTTTTAAAATATGGGGCCATAGTTTTACTTATTGCATGCAACATCTCATATGGTGGTCCATCAGAAAAGGTAACTAAACGTACTTGTGAATGAATGTTTTTATCAGCTTCAATCACAGCTCCACGTTTGGTCAAAACTAAGGAGGCCATTTTAGGACTAGTAAAATGTATCTCATTTGATATATAAAAGACAACATTCTCTTTCTCTTCATCTGCTTCATTGTTGTCTTCCTCTGAAAATAATAATTGGTCGGATTAGGATTACAACAAGGACAACATGAAATTGTATAATAAATTCTATTCTCATTATATCAATATACATGTTGCTCAACGATAATACATACAAGAAAAAACGATAAAAAATATAGATCATGTATATGTAATTATTCGTTTATATGTAATTACTACGTTTGTTAATATTTTATTGACACGTGCAATGATTCGGACATTGCATAAAACAGGAGCGTAATTAGCATGAAAGATTATGTACCGGTACATATTTGTATGGTGACGTACTCAAAATTCGAAAAAATATTGTAGAAAAAGAACGCAATGACGTTATTACGTGTATCGATTATATTAACGTATGAGTCATGTTCATGAAAGATTTGACCGCATCAAACGACAAACGTTACGCTAATATTCAGGATACGTTTCCTATTGCGGCTTAATGTACCGTTGTATCGGAAGACTGCAATGGAGGATATCACGGGGGAGGGCAGTGTGCAAAATCGCCAACAGCAAATCGATTAATCATTTGTTGCAAACCGAGTAACACCTACCTTTGCTCGAACTTCTTTGTATGTAAAGCGCCCACACCTGCGAGTCGGTTATGAATTTTCTTATAGACTCCTGATTGTTTTTATCGTCGAGTGCGGTATTGAACGAGGGTGGTACCAGATCTTCGTCGGGCACAAGGACCGTTACGACCTTTTTTAAATAATTAGTAAACACCGAATATGATACAACCATGACAATTTGAGACTCCGGGGACGGTTCCCCAGAGCCGTCCAAGGAGTCACCCATTTTACGTTAATCAATATCGCAAAATTTTTAAAATCTTGAGCGGGTGATCGGTCGACCCCCGCTCTAGGATGAACTGTCACACGAGCGATGACGACCTATAACAGGCATAGACTACTTGCACTTCCACGGAAGTGCTCACACGCTGCGACGATTCTCTACTAATAATGCCATTTCCATACTCCCTATCTTATCCATCGTTTTGGCTGATTTCCACGCTACCTTCGCCTGTAAAAGTAAATTCACAATTTTAACTTCACAGCGCTCAACTTACCAATATCTTTATTTGCTTCTCCTGCACATTGTGCTTTTATTTTATCTATATTACTTGAGTGTATTAAAGAGGCTCACAGCTTTGATTAACTTTTCAGGGTGGTATTCAAAGTTCAGAGTCGTTGCTTATTCTTAAAATCGCCTGGAAATATGGGATTGCCGAGGATAGGAAATGCTTAAATCTTAAAAATAAGTAAGGACTCTGAATACCGCCCTTATACTTTTAGAACAATCGTGCATCATCATTATCGTACAACTACAATGGGAATGATACTTAAATTATTTTGCGACGTAACATGTTCGTATGTCAGTATGATAGTGCACGCAGGCGTGAGGAGAGAGTGAGAGGGAGCAAGAGAGAGAGAGAAAGGCTATGGAATAAGGAAAGGGTGGTTGCCACAGAGATGCCAGATTAAAAACGAAAGCCAACGAGAATCACCCCTTCCACTTACGTATACTATTCCACCGTATCCATGTGCTCCGAGCTCGGCACAATTTCGGCTTAGTAGAGAGAGAAGGCGAAACATCAATCGTCGCCAGTCGGCTGCGCGCCGCTTGGATCTTAACGTATCAGGAGCAAAAGCGACAAACTGATGTTTCGCCTCACTTTCGCCTTCTCTCTTTATTCAACCGAAGTTGAGCCGAGCTCCGAGCACACAGATACAGTGTGACAGTGTGCGTAAGTGGAGGGGCTGATTCTTGGTGGCTCCCGTCCTCAATCTGACATCTTTCGGTTGCCGTGCCGTTGCCAGCGTTGCCAGTATTGGCCTGTATCGCCTGTATAGCCTATATAGGTGACCATCAGTGGTGGTTGCGAGCAGGTGTAGAATTTTAACAGTGGTTTTTAACGGAAAGATTAATACGACAGGAATTGGTACAGGAAACAGTAACGTTTGCAAATAATCGTGTTCACTTTCAAGTTGCTTTAAGTACCGTTAACAATTGATGTAATTGCAAGTTCACCTAAAACAACGAAGTATTTTCCACCGGCTCGTACCGTGTAACTGTCTCGATCGATTTACCTTGCGTTTATTCTATAATGGAAGCTTTGATACCAGTAATAAATAAATTACAAGATGTATTTAATACTGTCGGCAGTGACGCAATACAATTGCCACAAATCGTAGTACTTGGTACACAGGTCAGTCTATAATCCGTACATCTTCGTAAATTAACAAGAAGTGTATTTGTATCTTTATAATATTAGTATTAGTGGTTCCCAAGTTAAATTTTTTTTGAGCATGCATACTTGAACAGTTTGTATTGTAGCATTTATTAAATCTAGATTTCTAATTTTGTCTCTCTCGCTTAAGGAATTCGTACATAATTGTCAGAGTAAAATACAGTGTAATTTGTTTTATTTTTCAGAGTTCGGGAAAGTCGTCTGTGATTGAAAGTTTAGTGGGCAGATCTTTCCTACCACGTGGTATTGGTATAGTGACGAGACGTCCTTTGATATTACAATTAGTTTATACACCCAAAGATGATCGTGAACGTAGAAATGCAGAAAATGGGACATTGGGCATGGATGAATGGGCCACATTTCTACACACAAAAAACAAAATATTCACAGATTTTAATGAAGTCCGTAAAGAGATAGAGTCTGAAACAAACCGCATGGCTGGATCTAATAAAGGAATTTGTCCAGAGCCAATCAACTTGAAGATATACTCATCATTAGTCGTCAGTTTAACTCTCATAGATCTGCCTGGTATCACAAAGGTGCCAGTTGGTGATCAACCGGAAGATATCGAGAGCCAAATAAGACAACTTGTATTAAAGTATATATGTAATCCTAACTGTATTATATTAGCTGTTGTCACTGCAAATACAGATATGGCTACAAGTGAGAGTTTGAAGCTTAGCAAAGAAGTAGATCCAGATGGAAGACGTACTTTAGCTGTTGTTACTAAACTAGATCTTATGGATGCAGGTATATTTTAGTAGTATGATCATCACATATTACAATTAACAACTTCTCATTTAATAAAACACTAATATAATTATTATATTTCAGGAACTGATGCCATTGATATATTATGTGGCAGGGTTATTCCTGTAAAATTAGGAATCATTGGTGTTGTTAATCGCTCTCAACAGGATATAATGAACAATAAAAGTATCCAAGAAGCATTGAAGGATGAAGCAGCATTTTTGCAACGCAAGTATCCAACTTTGGCAAACAGAAACGGAACTCCCTATTTGGCTAAAACTTTAAACCGTTTACTCATGCAACACATCCGGGACTGCCTACCAGAGTTAAAGGTAATGGATTGTAAATGGTAGAATTTATAGTATATATCACTAAAAAAATCGACACGTAATGTAATTTAGAACTTATATTTTTTTTAAATAGACGAGAGTAAATGTGATGATCTCACAATTTCAAAGTTTGCTGAATTCTTATGGCGAGGAAGTTAGCGACAAGAGTCAAACTTTGCTTCAAATCATTACTAAATTCGCGAGCAGTTATTGTTCAACGATCGAAGGAACTGCTAGAAACATAGAAACGAATGCACTGTACGGTGGCGCTCGAATTTGTTATATATTTCATGAGACATTTGGAAAGTCGCTGGATTCGGTGAAACCGCTGGAAGGTCTTACGAAGATGGATATTCTGACGGCGATCCGAAATGCAACTGGTCCGAGACCAGCTTTGTTCGTACCAGAGGTTTCTTTTGAATTGTTAGTAAAACGACAAATTCGAAGACTCGAGGAACCGTCTTTACGTTGCGTAGAACTGATACATGATGAGATGCAAGGTATAATACAAGACTGTGGTACGGAAGTGCAACAAGAATTGTTGCGTTTTCCGAAGTTGCACGAACGTATCGTCGACGTCGTAACGCATTTGCTACGTCGACGTCTCCCACCCACTAATCACATGGTGCAAAACTTAGTTGCCATAGAATTAGCTTACATAAATACTAAGCATCCAGATTTTCACAAGGACGCGGTTCTGGTATCATCTATATTAAAAAGTTCTGACATGGATCACCCAAAACAGAGCAAAAGATTACCTTCTGCTGCGAGTACCACATCTAGTACTATAATTCCAACTGATTCGGTAAGTAATTTATACTCGTTTGAAAAGATTTAATTCTTGTCCTTGAAAACTTGTTCCCTTACATTGTAAACAATAAGATTTCAAATGTCTCTGCCCTACTCATTTGTTCTCTATGCTATGTAATTACACACATGAAATATTTCTGACAGAACATAAAGTCAGTTAACAGTCGAGACGAAGTGACATCTTTTTCCGAGCAGGGTAAAGCGCAACAGGGACAGCAACCGGCATCGGGTAATTGGTTATTGAATAATCTTATGCCTCAAGGGAGACCCGATTCGGGCGGTTCGCTTGATGGTTCCCCAATAAGAAATCACGAGAGTAGCGTTCTATCTACGAATCCGATGAACGAGGTAAACTCCATCCTTATCGGTTTGTTCGGCGTGTTACACAACTAAGACATTTGTAATGTTCCTAACAGAATGCAAAGTCGGTCAACAGTCAAGATGAAGTTTTTTACGAGCAGAATAAGATTCAACAAGGACATCAAATGGTGATAGGTAATTGGTTATTAAATAATCTTATCCCTCAAGGAAGAATCAATTCCAGTAGTTCGCTTGACGGTTCTCCAGTAAGAAATCGTGAGAGCAGCGCTTCTCCTAATCCAGTTCCAAGTGCAACTCCCGCGATCGAGGTACAAAAAGCATCACCGCAACAAAAGCCCGTAAATCTACTGCCAGAGGTACCGGTGCAAACATCTCGTAAACTGAGTGAACGAGAACAACGAGACTGTGATGTAATCGGTACGGAAGAAATTATATTTGCTTACAGAAAGGAAAGAACATTTTATGAAGTATATTTATTTATTTACATGCACTTTCATTTTTTACAGAAAGATTGATAAAATCGTACTTTTATATTGTAAGAAAATCTATTCAGGATAGCGTACCAAAGGCTGTCATGCATTTCCTAGTCAACTATGTAAAAGATAATTTACAAAGCGAACTCGTGACACATTTATATAAGTCGGACCACGCTGACGTTCTACTGAACGAGAACGAACACATTGCCGTAAGACGCAAAGAAGCTGCAGATATGCTAAAAGTATGTCCGAGGATCTTTCTCGCACCATAATTAAATATACTCAGTGCGTTCATCAACCAAAATAAATTATTTTGTTGCAGGCATTAACGCAAGCAGGTCACATAATTAGCGAAATTCGAGAAACGCACATGTGGTAATTTAAATTTACGCATGACTCACGCAATCAGTTTATAGTTCAATTTAGACATTTTTGATGTTTTAATAGATAAACTGTATGAATGAGGCCACGTGTACGTTCGATCACTGTATATAACTTGTATTTTTCATGAAAGCAGTGTTTAAGATTATAGGAATAAGTTTTTAAGTTTTGCGCATTTTCTTTTAGTTTCATTTTATAGATATGAAAGAGAAGACGATATCATAAAATGCGTACATACATTTATAACAAATGCCAATGTTAAGCGAACGAAGTTAATACCACCGATAATAATGGTGCTCATGTCGATACGCCACATCTTATGATGAGTATTGGCATGAGGACCATTATTATCGGTCGTATTATATCACATAAGCCTTACTGAGCTTATGTGAATATTCAATTTATATCGGAAGCATCGTTACTTCCAGTGTAGAAAGCTAGTGTAAATGATGGTGGGCACAGTGCTATTTGTTATTTTTTGTAATATCTTGCACTGTAGAAGATTGAACAAAAAAGATGTGCTTTATTTAATACAAAAAGTATCACAATGGATTTCGTTTTTTAGTATTTGTAATATGGATCTTTGAGCCATTTGTATGTCTGTGCGCGTTCGCACGTGTATGTATAATAATAGTAACACATTTAATGAATTATATTTGTTGACTTGTTGTTACTGAGAGGTACAGCCAAATTGATTGTAACATTGGATAATACATTGTTGTGTTTTAATAGTTTCCATGTTGGGTGCAGCAAGAAACTTTTCAATAAATTGTATGTGTTGAAGTAGCTGAGGCACAGCCTGTTCGTAATGGCGCTCATACATTTTAGAGATGGCACTTATTCTTTTCGCAATCGATTTTTGCAACTGATTCTTCAGTTTTTTAACGTCTATCTTCTCACCACAGTTGCGACATTGTTTACCTGACACGTCGTATTCATTTTTCTGATTTACCGTGCCAATAATTTCTGAGCATGTTCTGCATTTAATATTCATTGTTTCGGATAATGGATATTGCCAATTCTGTGTGCAAGCTTCACACGCACACAAAAAGCAGTATTTCTTCCATAAATATTCGCGTCTCGTTATTCTCTCTTCGCTGATCCAGTGCGGTCCGTAACAATCGAGGATCTCCGTGCCTTTGCCGATAAATCGCATGGTTCGCACTACGACTATCCCTGCAGAAAATGATTTATCACTAGATCTATTCAAGAAACCTTGGGTTCCGTTCATTACAAGGGTATTTACCTGATGGATAATTGTGACGAACGACATTTGGATAACAGCTATGATTTATAAGACTAACTGAGGGATAAATTGCCCCGCCTACGAATCTTGGCTCCCAAACATGCGTTTTTTTATCATATACATTTTCTACGATCTCATAAGCATTACAATTAATAGCTTGGAGGGAATGTAACATTGCTACAGCTAAAGAGATGAAAGTCTCTTTCAAGCAAATAACATCCGTTTTATTCAAAACAAAAGTAAGGCATTTGGCCAGGAATATGGCCTCGAGAGCACGGACAAGATTCACGTTAGGTTCCATTTTCGCGCAATTCGTTTCTAAATTTAATATGGTACGATAATCGTGGGGGCTATAAATTTCGCTTATGCCTAAGGTGCTACGTTCTTGGTTCGTGGATGCTACATAATGCCGAAGAAACTCATTTAGATAAGGAATTTCACTTTTTCCCGTGTTATTGTTAAACTGTTCGACGCTCGAAGATAAAATTCCTAATACGATCATTCTGTACGCTAGCAGCAAGTATGAATTATGTCGTGCTTGTTCAGTATCGTTTTCAAAGAAAGTATCAAATACGAGACATTCATACTGATGATACATTTGCCATGCTTCTCTGCGACATTTTTCCGAACAGAAAGATACCTGCAGAAGGACAAACTTATTTATATTTCAAATGTGAACAACGAAATAATAAAAACGGACGAGTATTATATGACTGTATTACTGACTGTTTGACAAAAATGGCATGGAATTCGAACGCTATCGTTCGATTTGAGAGTACAGTGACAATGTAAGCAGTTTCTTTCGAGCGCACCCTTATTCGTACTGAAAGCAAATGGTTCTTCGACGATAAGGACAGATCCTGCTTTAATGTTTCTATTAGCTATAAGATGCCGACCTCGCGCCTCATCGAATTGTAACGCCACGGCATCAGAACAACTTTTAAGAACACTATGTTGTTTTCCATCAACAACAGGTATCGTTGGTATACGATCTACCGAAACCGCGTTCTCCAGAGGATCGCTCCGACCCATCTTGCATTTTCTGCGCAGTTTTTTGTCTTGGGAAGAGGATACCTTCAAATACTTTGTGCATTCGCGCTCTAATCGGGTGCATGCTTCTCTACGTTCCGAGAAATCATTCGCATCATAAAGGTTTTCAAGAAGTGCAAGCAAGCATTCACAATATTTCAAGCATTTTGCAAAAGCTTTCGAATCGTACCAGTACTGGACGCAATCGAAAAGTACGTCCAGGAACAGTCTACTAGCTACACTGGCCGTAAACAGTGTTTCGGTAAGGATACTACTTCTATCCACTTCCTCGTGCACAACTCCATCCTCTGTTACTGTTCCATCATGATATCGTTCGTAAAGCTGTGTCGCTTTAACGTCATCCTTACCCTTGTACGATTCGATAATTTTTACGTTTTGAATACATGGAACATCTAACAGAATTTTTATCATTCCTTCTCTATCGCCTTTCTCAGACAACTCCTTGAAACGATTCGAACACGGTTCCGCAAGTGCAGCGTCGTATGCGATTTTGAAAAATTCGCTAAATTTCTTGTTCCTAAAAGAATTTTGTCCCATGCAATATAAATGCATACCATTAAAATTGTTTTAACAAATTCTCGCGCGACTGTACCGCGGCGAACTTTAAATTAGACCTCTAAATTTACATATACCGACGTACGTTTAATCGAAGACGAAAATAGATTGAGCAACCGCTTATTCCATTTTCGCGTACACTCAGTGACATTGCATATTATATTCTTCGAATAAAGCATTTATTTGCAGTAAAAGATTTGCTAATATTTATATAAATACATTCACTGAGCTTATTGTTACAATTATAGGAGTTGGAACGAAGTAAGAATATTTTTTGAATTATACGAATAAATAAATTGTGAGAGACATGGTTTATTGCTTACCCATTAGTACAAGACATGATTTTGTAGAGAACTTACGAATTATTATTAATTAATTGTATGAACACTCGTATGTTTGTCGCACATACAAGACAAGACGAATGGGCTGTGACGAATTCTAAAATTAGATATTAGCTCTTGCTATAACGACACGATCGTGGCACCTGTTGTATTTAAGTTCAAAATTGTTAAAGGATGATATACAAATTAAATAAAATAGCTTTTTTTCAATTGCCATTATAATAACAGTTCATAAAAAGTATAATATCGTAGTATATAAATCGGAATTTTCAAAATCGACTACCATAGTCGAATTTATAAAAATAAGCAATAAGTAACGTAAAATCGGAGGCTTGCACTCAATGCAAGTAATATTGGAACAGTAATATTGGTACAATAAATTGAACGTTCTGTTTCAAATCAAAATTTAAACATTGATTTTTATTGCTACTTTTTTACGGTTGATGTCACTACTGTAGACAACCATTGAGAGGATTGAGAGATCGAGATCGAGACATCGAGAGAGATACAGATACACTGTGCCTAAACCAGCCTAAACGTCACATGATAGACACGGGTGTGATTCTTTCCTTATTTCGTACGTGAGATGTTATTTTAAATATTTATGAGCATACGATTCATTTAGTAAAAGTTGTAACTGATCGTTTACTGACATTTCTCTGTTTCTTTCAACACTTAAGTCTTAAGCTGAAACTAGCGCGATGAGATATATCTTGGGTGCAACTTTTACGGGCACTGCTACCGCAACTAGTCTTGTATTAGGTATTAATTTACTTTTACTCATTTCTCGATCGTATTTTTTTTATCTTTCTGCAGGCTCTGCAGTTCTTAAGTAATATTTACTTTCAGTATTGTATCATGTATTTACTGGGAAAGGAGAACGAGTCAGTATTGCATGGTGAGTAAACACTTGTGTTAGATATTCTTGTTATTCTTAGTTTAAATTATAATTATGAAAATATGTGTTTAGGTTTTTGGAAAATACATCACCATACATGTGGGCCACCCTCGGTATTGGACTTGCAGTTGCCTTATCTGTAGTTGGTGCTGCATTGTAAGTTACAATTATTTTAAACAACAGTCATATTTCTGTACTTTTTAAATGCCATTTTTTAATGTCTACGTATCTAGAGGAATTCACACAACAGGAGTTTCGATCGTTGGAGGTGGTGTAAAAGCTCCAAGAATTAAAACAAAGAATTTAATCTCTGTAATCTTTTGCGAAGCAGTGGCTATCTATGGTTTGATAACTGCTATTGTATTATCTGGAATGTTAGAGAAATTCTCGTATTCGACAGTCATAGCGAACGATGCTCTTCACACTCAGAATTGGTTGGCTGGTTATTTAATGTTTGGAGCTGGTCTGGCTGTTGGTGTTGTCAATCTAGTTTGTGGCATAGCTGTTGGTATTGTCGGTTCTGGCGCAGCTCTTGCTGATGCAGCCAATTCTGCTCTTTTTGTCAAGATACTAATCGTAGAAATTTTTGGTTCCGCAATTGGACTTTTTGGTTTAATTGTTGGAATTTACATGGTAAGTTATTAGAAAATATTTTATTTTTGAGCATATTAACTGATTCCTTTGTATTTCCAGACATCTAAAGTAAAAATGGGAAATAAGACATAAACTAAAAAGTAAACCCAATGTCACAAACTACTTGGAACCAGGAAGTTTTATTCCATTCATTCCATTTGATCATGGTTCAACAGAAAATAAATATAAGAGAAAAAATGAGTTTTTTGTTAAAACAAATATAAAGATAAATTTGTTGTTACACCTTAGAAACCTTCATATAAGGATCTCTGTATATCAGATGTGGATAAATAATTGTGTAGTAATATAATTTTCATTGCTATAATGCAGTTTCGTACATGTAATATTGTGAGTGCGTTATAGCGCTCCCTTTTATGAATCCATTTATTGTATATACTTTTAATTGAAATACTATATTAAAATATAATTCTATACTTACAGGTATTCGTGCATAAATGTATAAAAATATGCTTAAACATTAAATGTTATTTCTGTTTAAGTCTGCCGTAGATAAAATTAAAAGGTTATTCTTTATTTGTTTAACAGTATAAAAAGTTCTTAGCAAATAATATATAAAATCATGATATACGTAGTCAACACTGTTAGAGATTCTTCATCCTCGATGTAAAGTTATAAGTAATATGATTGAATAATGATTACATGTATACCACAATATCATACTTAGTGGTTCAGTATTTCATGAATAGTTTTAAATGCCCTCTCTACACACTTAACATAGTCGCTTGCGTTGCAATGGTTCTTATAACTCGACACGCAAGCCCCCAATCTTTCATCTTGAATCATGTATCTGAATATTACAGGGATTGTTATAAACAGATAGTGTTACTGCTCTTACATACATACATATGTATATTTGTAAAAATAACAATGAAGAACTTACCCAATTCCATAGCCATCATTTACCACTGATCCAAAGCCGCCAGCAATTATGTTTGGGTCTGAAAGAGTTGATGTAGATAAAATATTGTGATTAATATAATCATACGCTGGGTCCTCGAAAATAGCTGGTTTTGGTGTATCTGACTCTTCCCACATTTTTTTCAATGCAAACAAATGTCTATCAAATCCTTGCCCTATAAGGTCATAACAAAACGATTTTATATTTCATCGTTTATGGATTTTATTGTAATATGTAATAAATTACCCATAACAGCTTCTTTAGTCAGTTTATTATGTACGTCACCACATTTAATTATTAAATTTTTTAGTTCGGACAAGGAAACATTGCGATTTTTCTGAATTATCATCTCGCATGCTTTCTTCGTTTCTGTCGTACAAGATCTAAGCGTTTCTGTTCGACCATGTTTATATGCTGCTGTACTACAAGATTCATACGTCGGTACTGCACGATTATGTTGATAATAATACGCCAACTGGAAAGCTAGCTGCATAATTGCATCAGGACTTACTCCAAACTTTTTGCACTTATTTTTGCCAAATTCAGTAAATATCACATGATCAAGATTCAGTTCATTAATCCATTCCACATATTTTCTCTTTTCTGTATTAATAATGTCTTGTACCTTATTATCTATATTAAATTGGAGCTTCTTAACTTTGATTGCTCCTTGTGGAAGATGTTCGATATCACTACGACAAAATCTTGGTTGTTTAGTTATATCTTTATGTATATCCTTAAAATAAAGAAGGGAACGAAATATAATCAAACATAGGAATTGCTTAAATTGAATCTTAGTATTGTTTACCGTAAGAAACCTCAGTACTGCTACACCATCACCCCATGAATGTTCAAAATTTATTCCTGCATGTCCATCTTGTGTAACGATCAATGAAAAGGACTTGTCAAACCACCTGTTTGTTCCATCCGCGTGAAGATACGTTCTAAGTAACTTATTGTAGTTAACACCAATAACGTTATTACTGTCAGTACCAATACTTTCATCATCTAATATCATCATAAATATAGCAGAATCTATTTTCTGCAGAATTTCATGATTACCAATATGTGACAAATGATTTCTTGCATCGGCCCACAAGTCACGCTTTGATGTTGTAAGGACTCCAATCGGATATTCATTTGCTGATGTATTGTCTTCTAAAATGAACTTTAGACAACTAGCTATTGCATGTGGTTCATAAATATATCCATCTTCATCTATTACATCAAAGGTAAAAAAATTTCCTTTTCTCATTACTATTATATGCTTGCCTGATTTATCCTCATAGATTTCATCTTTTTCTAATTTTGGTAATCTTGTCGTATTAAACAAGTTATGGTACTGTGACATATCCAATGGAAATGCCTAAAATAATAATTTATTATTTGCTGTATTATAAAGAAGTAAAAATACATTTTAATTTATCATAATTGCTAGTTTACCTTAAACAGATAAGCCCCGTACCAACTAAATTTAGGTGGTAGGGACTTTGCAGTTGTTTGAAATATATTACTGTTAGCTGTTTTTGGCTTTAAAAAGAATATCTCAGGCCTTAGAATATTCTCTTTTAATGATTTCATAAATCTTAGTGATGATATAACAAGATTTGTTGCTTGTACTAATTGTGTATTATAATTTGGATCCGATGTTGGTAGAAGAACTAAGAAGGGATTATAATTGATCGGCAAAGACTTACGGTCTTTCAAATATAAATCAAACCAGGGTTTACTGATATAACTGGTATGAACATTTTTTGCATTCTTTTCAATCAGTCTTCTCTGTAGTTCAGTACCATCTTTAGATAAAAATTCATTAACATAAATTGTAGTCTTTTTGAACTGGTCTTCAGATAATAATGGCTTTTGTGCACTTAGATATCTTTTACATGTATCTTCTAATTTTGGGATAGGTAAGCGTGGTAGAGATGGTTGAAAATGCATTGTTGGTATCTTACTTCTTTCCAAATATTGATACTCATCATCTCTTTTAGTAGATATGCTCCTGTAGTAAGAG